CGAAGTAAACAACCAACTGGCCTTCCTCGATGTGCTTGTCAAGAGAAATGGCGACCTTTTGGATCACACCGTGTATCGAAAACCCACTCATACAGACCGGTACTTACACAAACTATCAAATCACCATCCAAGCCAAAAACAGGGGATTATCGGAACATTAGCAAATAGGGCAAGACGTATCTGTGCTAATGAACACATCCAAGAGGAACTAAGTCATTTAAATAAAGCCTTTCTTGCCAATGGCTATAATGACAGAGAAATAAAGGCGGCGCTGGCACCTAGGCAGAGGAGACCTGACGCCAATGAACAGGAAAACATCATTAATAAGGCCTTCCTTCCATATGTTTCCCAGGTCACCGATAGGATTGGTAAAGTTCTCAAGAAGCATAACATCAAAACCATATACAAACCTACCCGAAAAATAAGGGACTGCTTAAGACCAGCAAAAGACAAAAGAGAACCATTATCCTCTGCAGGGATCTACCGTATACCTTGTTCCTGCGGTAGCGTATATATTGGAACTACCAAACGCTCAGTAGGAACGAGACTTACGGAACACAAGAGAAACTGCAGATTAGGGCAAACAGAGAAGTCAGCCGTAGCAGAACATGCTCTAAGAGATGGTGACCACAAAATCCAATTCGAAGACACACAAGTCATTGCCACAACATCTGGATATCATCCTCGTCTGGTCAGGGAAGCTGTTGAAATTCACAAACATCCAAATAATTTCAACAGGAAGGAAGAAACTTTCTACCTTAACAGAATTTGGCATCCAGCTATATCTAGGACCAAAGTAGCAGCACAGAGAAGTAGACCAGTTCCGGAAGAACTACCACCCGAACAAGCCACGCCCCTCCGCCGACGCATAAATACGCGCTACGCCGACGCGGAGGCATCAGTCTAGTGTGTGAGCAATCGGAGCAAACACACCTCTGAAGATGCTAGCCACTCGTGCTAGCGAAACGTTAGGAAGCAATTCTAACCGACGACGGCCTAATAACCCGAAAAACCAAAATTCTTCAAACGATGGCCGCGAAAGCCTAAACTACTACATAAATAGTTTTTATAGTACCGTATTATCGAAAAGGAACGGCATCAGTCGGTGCCATTTTATATGTAAATTTATATAGGAAATGTCATCAATCGTCATTTCCCATCCTGGACGCCGTTTTTTTCTATCATACGGTAGATATATGTACAAATATTTTATTCAAACATAAATATTATTTTCTCTATTTGTATCTTTTACGGAGCGATCAACATAGTAACATAGGATGACTATTTATCACCTGTTATTACTAACGTCAAAACAAACCAAAAATTAAATAATATGATAAGTTTTTTGACGATATTTAAATTCGATTTTCAAAATAATGTGAGATAATCATAATGAGATCAGAAATAAATGGGTTTAATCGGATGGTTTTCTAATTCAGTTATTGAATAAGTGTAGTAAACAATATAGGTTACGTGCCTGTAAGAAATTTTGATAAAAAACCGCATATTAAGTATGATATGGTCTCGTACACTTTCGATTAATAATTCATCGGACATGTTTAATGTAAAACCGCTCCACTAAAAAGTAGACTATTCGTCCCCTCCCATGCATTTTCTGATTTCGCCTGATGGCGCGAGTACATCCGATAGCTCGAAGCGCACCGAGCGCACCGGGCGCACCGATCTTATGCGGTGCGCGGGCTTACATTTATTTCAACGTAAACTGAAAATTACGTGTCGCTCGCTCTCGCCGATACCTATTCAGTGCGCGCGGAGCTACGCTAAGGCAACGGCCCAGCTACGTCGAAACACCGGTTCCCATTAGAACACCGAAGTTAAGCGAAGTAAGGCGATAGTAGTGGATGGACGGCTGACCGGTTCGAAACTCTCGTATCGTGCTGGTTAGTTCAGTCATTGGGGATCAAAAAAGGGGCCTGCTTGGAAAAAAGTCCGGAAGTTTTGAAACTTTGCAGGTTTATAGGTTTTGGGGTCCCCAACTAAAATCCATAAAATGCACACTCCCAGACTTGCCGCCGGCGCCGCCATCTTGCCAAGATGGCGCCCAAAATCGGTATTTTGTGAATATCTAGAAAACTATGCGTTTTTCGCGAAAATTTGAGGAGAGCAAAATTAAAGAGAATAAAATTTCCTATAAAAAAGGTTTTATGAAAATTTTCGCTAAAGTCAACCGTTTAGGCACAAAATCTCTGGAAATTTTACAATTTTGCGTAAAATATGATATATTATGGATAGTCGATTTTCCGAAATCAAATGTCGATTAGGGTTCACTAAAACTAGTTTTAGTTTAGTTTCTTCAATTTTGTCATGAAACAGTGGCGTATCATTAATTCGCTGATTAATTCATTCATTGCGAACTAATCGACATTTGATTTCGGAAAATCGACTATACATAATATATCATATTTTATTCAAAATTGTAAAATTTCCAGGGTTTTTGTGCCTAAACGGTTGACTTTAACGAATACTTTTTATAAAACATTTTTTATAGGAAATTTTATTCTCTTTAATTTTGCTCTCCTTACATTTTCACGAAAAATGCATAGTCTTCGAGATATTCACAAAATACCGCCATCTTGGCAAGATGGCGGCGCCGGCGGCAAGTCTGGGAATGTACATTTTATGGATTTTAGTTAGGGACCCCAAAACCTATAAACCTGCAAAGTTGCAAAACTTCCGGACTTTTTTCCAAGCAAAAATCCCCAATGACTGAACTAGTTGTCCAAAAAAAGGCAAAAGTGTAAAATTTATTAACACACACTGCTCATTCACGCCGGTTCGAGGCCGGATGAGATCGGATATCTCGTGAGTAAGAGTCGATTTAGACACTTGCCAAGTCGGCCATTGACCATGATATGGCCGAGGACCGCGGTTCGGATTCCGCGTAAACAAAGTAGGCCCCGTCCAGATTAGCCCTGGCAGCAAAAAGGAGACGTTAACTGAAATCTTTACTTTACTTTGCTTTACGCTAAAAAATATCAACATTAATTATCTTCAATATTGGTTGGGATATAAAAATATAGTAAAATATTGTGTTTGGAGTTGCTGTTTGAACATCCTGTATGTACAGGGTGGCGCCTCTCATACGCCGCGGATGCTTCAAGGAGAAGGACAGTTTGTATTGAAATTATATTTTGTGAGCATATGTAGATTAATTCAGAGCACTTTTTAAAAATATAGAGAGTTCTAAGGGTGTCCCCAAAAAAGTTACATCAAAGTTGTGTTTTTGTAATGGACCTATATTATACCAATCGATTTTCGGATTCCGGGAGAAAAATAATGGTGAGTTTTATAAGAGTATATGACTAAATTTGACATATTTAACATTTTCTAGAAATAAAGAACAATATTTAAATTACAATAAAAGCCTAAATTGGAATTTACCCGGTATAGCCTAATATATAGTTAAATTAACTATTGTACTTTAAATCAAATTAAAACTTGATCCTAAGACTTGATCCAAAAAGTTATACAGGGTGAGACAAAATTAATATTGAGCATTGGTCACCTTTAAAAGCATGTTACTCTCTTATTTTAAATGGGACACCCAGTATATTATTCCGATATTCAATGGAGAATTCATGCCTCTTCAAAATACTATTAAGGTTGCCTACCCCTCAAAAAAAGATTTTCCTAGATATTTTCATTTACATGATTTATTTGAGTAGATCCTTATTATTTGATAAAATCTAGGTGGCTGTCATATGTCTGACGTTACTTCAACATAGCTGTCTAATTAGTCCAACTTTAACAACTAGTTATCACTTTGTGTCAGTTAAAACAAAAAAAAATTCAGAGATTTGCCGAAAATGCAAACTTGTCCTACATCAGAGAGAATTGATATGATTCTATTAGTTGGTGAATGCAGTGTGCATTCACCAATTAATAGACTATTTAAATGCTCCTGGTTTTATCTAGTCTGGTTTTTTTATGGAGATATGTTAAAACAATGTTTACAAAACTCGACCGATGTTTGCATGTCGACATCATGAGAGAAATTATTGTAGCTGCTTTACGAAGTAGAACTCCACATAGTATGCCTTTTAAAATGAAAAGATCATTTTGAAAAAACAATCATTTTATGCAGTTAACAGGATAGGAAGTATTTTGAGCATTTGATTTCATCTAGCTAATTTTTGTCGAATAATTCTAGGTTTTTCCTAGAATCCGAAAATCAGTTAATATATAGGGTGTTCCATTAGGAAAAACAAAACTTTGATGCGTAAATTTTTTTGGGGACACTCTGTATAATTCTATACGTTTTTATAAAATGCTTTCAGTTAACCGACATATGTTGCCAAAATTTCATTTCGATTTAAACTACCGTTCTCCTTGGAGCACCACCCTGTATAGGTATATCATACCTAATCATTATTTTATTATTATGACATATTTTAGTCGTAAATTTTGTAGAACTATGTTTCAAAAGTACTTTATTTAGTGCACAACAATTATTATTTAAAATGTTTATGAAATTATGACTGTGATTTATCAATTTGCCTAAATCTAGTTTGCATTATTTAAAAAATTAGAAAGCGTTAATATCAATGGTATTTCATATTATAAATAAAAAAGAGTTGATTCATAAAAAAACTATATAAACTCTGACATTCTATAGGTAATAAGCGTCTAAAATTTATTAAACATTAAAGGGGAGTAAATGGAAAACGTAAATGGAAACTAGCAAGGAAACTACTAAATCTAAATTAAAAAGTGATTTTTTTTTCTATTTAAATCAAAATTTTTAACGGTTTCGCAGATATTCGCGGTTTAATATTTCATATGGCATTTTCCAGAGTAAATTTTTATCAAAGCCACTCAATTTTTTTCACCCAATTTCACAATGATTCTCTCGTATTTTACCGTTGCTATGGTAGACTTCAAAACGAAAAGATGCAATAAACCGATCGCAGTTTAAACAGCAAAATGTGATAAGTTATATTGCATCTAGAGATATTATATTATCTTCATTTATTTAAAGGAAACCAAACAATTTAATGGGCCACAATAAATTTATAAAACTTTGCAAACTATCGTCGTAAGATGTTTATCGGCAAATATTTCGAAAATTGCCTCGTTATTTTTAATCTAACGGTCACAAATCTCAACACAAAGTTATCACTAACGAATTAAGACAAGCATAGACGTTAATAAATAAGCTTAACAGGAAGATAAGTATTGAACTGATGGTACCCTGAATGATCATAATAAACATGGAATTAGTTACAAATTTACAGATTTAAAAACTCGTTGTTAATTTTACTTCAGTAGAATTTGTCCAAATATATTAAAAATATAAATATAATAACAGTTTATATTATTACATACAACTTACAAGTTAAGTAACAATGTTTTCAAGACGTACAAAAATACTAGTTGGACAGTTTAGAGATCTAAAGAGGTAAATATACTGTATTATTAGATTGAATTAGAATTTGTACAACATATTTATGTTTCCGCTCTACATGATAATATATTGTTAAATTAAACTATGGTATCAGTAAAATGTAAATATTACCTGCTTAGATTTAATAACGAAAAGATACAAGTAATGTTTTTTTCTTCCAATTAACAAATACTTCCAAGTTCATTTACTAGAAACTTCAAAAAACAATATCGTATAAATGTAATAGGCTTGGTGCATTTCAGTTGATTTCAAATAATTCCGACCGCAGCGCTCAAACGCCAGAAATCAGACGTTTTTGCTCCGTAATTCACGCGCCGTCCCGGTTGCAGTTCATGTTGATCGCATTAGAATCGTGGATTTATGATAATATTTAAGTATTTTTGCTAGTGCAGCTATTGAAACTAATGAACAACTATAGAAACTAGGTTTGTGTAATGTAACGCTGTTTCGGGTAGTAAAAAGTAAGTGAAAAAACTTGAACTGGGCGTCGCGTTGTGTTGTGACAATTTCAAATGTTAACAAAATTGCCGAAAAAATGTTAACGCGTAAAAGAGGGGCTAAGTATGTGGTTGTTAGGTGCAATAATATTCAATAACTCAACTTTCCCGGATATTCAACACTCCCGAAACAACATTTTATAGCTTCGCAGCTTCTCACACCGATTTGAACAAAAGCAAAAATGGATTCAAGCAATTCGACGAAACAGGTGAGTAAACAAAGTGCCCATTAGATATTCAAAAAATTAAATAGACATATACTACGAGAGGATAAAATATAATTTGCAATATTAATGATATACTTTTTTTTAATCAACTAGTGCTTACATTTTTTATGAATATCTTCTAAAATTATAATTATGTACCTTAAAAAAATTTCATTATAGCCGAAATAGCCCAAGTTATGTCCCCTCTAGTAAAACCGGTGCGTAAAACTATGCTCGTTACCGTAGTTGAACTCACCTAAAAAGTTTTATTAGTTTAAATAATAAATTATTTATTAAATTATGATTATTTAGTATATTATTTTTTTTAGAATTTTTAGAAATTATATTTTCTAACACTTTTAGAATAATTATATAAACTTTTTTTCGTATATTCGCTATTTAACCCGTGTATTTTTATATGCCGATTGTTTACGATATTCTCCGATGGTGGCAGCACCGGCGGAGAATGCACCAAGCCTATAATAGATGTATTCCCGCCTCTATATTATTAACTTTATTCCAATCATAATAGGAATAATAAAGTCTCTTAATTATCGTATTGTTGTGTTTATCATTTTGAGTTTTAGATTCAAGAAATATCACAAACTGAGCTACATCCATAATCCTGGAACAGATTGTCTTAGACCTCTAACTGTGGGTAAAATACTAGAAGATGCAGCGGACAGGTTTGGCGACCGTTTAGCTATTAATGCCAGAGCCCAGGGTCAAAAGCTGACATTTCAAGAGGTCCTCCACCAAGCCGATAAGTTAGCTGCTGGACTAAGACAAGTAGGTTTAAACCCCGGCGATAGGATTGGAATTTGGGGACCGAATTTGTTGGAATGGTATTTGACGCATATGGCCTGCGCTCGAGGTGGTTATATTCTGGTAAGGGTAATTTTCCTTTTTTATTAATCATGTTGTGGAAGGTAGAATGTTTAGGAGGAGAGTTAGTCACCGCAACCTTACAGATCTATTGTATGTTCCCCTTTCTTGAGTTATAACGAGTTATAACCTCGGTCATCATACATCTCTAGAATGGTAGCACCTCAAAAGTTAAAAATATATTAAAAATTTAGTATGCCATTATTATTTGAAAATAATAGCTTTGAATATATGTTAATATACGAGTATAAACAATGATAATAGCCTTCAATATCCATAGAATTCACTGTTATGCGGAAAACTACCATTACTCTCTGACGAGTATTTGACACGCATCAGAAGATACGTATGCAAGGCGTTTTATTTTCATGAGCTTTTCTGTGACTGAAAAGCCCGATACGTGATGTTATCTCTCTTCTGCACTCCGGACATTGAAAAATCTCATTACTTTATTGCCTCTTTACTTTGTGGTTGTAGTTGTTAACTGATTATACAATTCTTCTCCATTGCGTTATATTGTGCGCTGCTTCCTCCCACTAATTCTGCATTTAGTTTTATAATAGTACAGTATCCCCTTTAAGTTTTTATGAAAAATATCTTTGTACCTTTTGAGTTGTCCATCCGGTTTCTTCTTACGTACGGTTTCTTCTTAGGGTACGTAAGCTGTTTTCTTGCATTTTGCATACGTACCCAGGTCGTCTTAAGCGGGATTTAGTATTCATGACTTCAGTGCTCTCGCAGCTAGCTTTTTCAAAGACCGATACATTACATACAGTTTGATACATGGTGACATGGTGATACCATTTGATTCTTGACAGTTGTCTAAGGTGTCTCCCTTTCAACTTCTTTAATGCGTTCATGTGCCGGCGGTAAGGCACCCAGGGTTTCGCTTCCATATAACAGGGTGGGGATTATTATTGCTAGGTACACTGCAAGCTTCGTTTTTGTGTTCAAGTCATGAACAATCATAAATTAAAAGACAGTGTTTTCTACAAAGGAAACCCTGTCTTTTAATTTCCAAAATGCTCTTGATGCGCTGCTAATTCTGTGTTGAATTTTAGAGTTTATATTGGCCTTTTCCGAAATCCAACTGCCGCCGCGCCGATGTAATTGAATTCCGCTACATATTCGAATATTTCTCCGATTTTTATAGCATTTTTAAGTGTACGAAGTTTTCGAAGTGTATCGAAGTTTTGTAATGAATTTTATACGTATTTTTGCCCTGAGTCTTTTTATATTGAGCAGACCGCCACGCCGTCGTATCTCTATCTAATCCCCATTCCTCTTTCCTGCATTTTGCTGTTCACTATGAGATAGAACCTCCTGTTTAAACATGTTAAAAAGGAGAGGCGCTAAGACCCCTGTCTAACTCCTGTATTTGTCAGGAAGGGATCGCTCAGTGATCCATGAAGGCTTTTACACACTGTAAGAAATTTGTTGGATACTCCGAACTTTCTCATAATTGCCCAAAGTGTATCTCTATTTACAGAGCCGAAGACTTTTGTTAGGTCGATGAATGCAGCATAAAGTTTACTCTGTTGCTCCTTTACTTTTTCCTGTAGTCGGCGGACGAAGAATATAGAATCACGGTACCGCTGCGCTGTTGGTGCGAAAACCCGTTTGTGATATTAGAAGGATTTTTTTATGCGGATAACCAATATACATAAAATATAGAGTTTAATTTATATGTATGAATATTTTCTTACAGGTTAACATTAATTCTGCTTATCAGCCTTCAGAACTGGAATACTGCATTAATAAAGTAGGAGTTAAATGTATCATCAGCGATTACAAATTTAAAACTCAAAACTATTACGATTTTCTGAATGAAATATCTCCGGAAATATCTACTAGTGAACCTGGCAAATTAAAATGTACACGTATGCCCACTCTGGAAAATATAATTGTAATTACAGAAGAGGACTTGAGGTAAATCCATAAAGTTCTTCCGGAACTAAATTAACATTTATAATATTTAGAGGAGCCTTCAAGTTCCAAGAAATTCTTGATCTAGCAACTGATTCCAGAGTAAAAAATGCATATGCTCTACAAGATTCTATAGATCCAGACCAGCCGTGCCATATACAATTTACGTCAGTAAGTTTTTAATTTTAATTACATAATTACTTGTTGATAAATTACCAAATTTGTACAGCGTACCCCCATATTAAAGTCTAAATAAACCTTACAAGAAAGATAGCTGCAAATTTCAATTGTCTTTTCTTTGAATGTGGTAGAAAATGATGAAGTATTGAAGCTAAAATTTCGGACTTCCATTGTTTTTATTTATTTTGATTAACACATTTCCGTCAGAAGGATCACTAACCGTTAACTAATACCTAAAACTAATGAGCTTTTATACTGCGGCCAGGCATTCACCCGTGAAAAAGTTGGTCGTAATATGATGACGATGCTTCCATAATATGGAACGGAACCGATAGACATTTGGACTCTCTTAATCATCTCAGTTCACAAAATGATTCCATCAAATTTACGATTGAGAAAAAGAAAGGCCACTGTCTGCCGTTTCTAGATGTCCTTGTTAGTAGAAATGGGGGACCTATTAAGACTTCTGTATACAGAAAACCCGCACACACACGGAGCACTATTTAAGTTTTCAGTCGAACCCGTCTGAAGCAACTAAACCAAACTTTATGTCATCGAGCAAACACCAGAAGACATGCCAGAAATATCAACCACAGAAATTAAATATGCATTTCAACAAATAAAAAATGGCAGGAGCCCAGGAGAAGATCGTATTACACCTGAAATGCTGAAGATGGGCGGAAAACCATTAGTGGGCGCAGTGGAAGTATTGTTAAATAAATGTCTGATGGAGGGTAGAATCCCGGATGCATGGAAAAACGCAGAAGTTGTGCTATTATACAAAAAAGGAGATTATACAAATATAGAGAAGCCAAACCAATAAGCCTTCTCTCGCCCCTATACAAGCTCTTCACTAGGATTATCAACAACCGACTAACTATAACGAAACTAGATTCCTATCAGCCAATAGAACAGGCAGACTTTCGAAAATGTTTTAATACCATCGATCATCTACAAACAATTAAAACAGTCATTTATACATTTATACAGTTATTTACACTGGCACTGGAAAATGTCTTCAAGAAATTAGAATGGGAAAATAGAAGTCTAAACATTGATGGGGTACACCTTAGCCATCTTAGGTTCGCGGACGACATTGTCTTGCTGAGCACCGACATTCCAGAACTGAACACTATGCTAAAGGAGCTAAATGACCAGTCCCAAAAAATTAGCCTTAAAAGGAACTTGAAGGAGACCAAGATGATAAGCAATAATATCCATAACATTACTGTAGACAACCCTGTCTGTTGTTAATGCAAACGTAGACCATTATATATATTTAGGTCATAAAATCAAGCTGGGAAAGAGAACCAAAATACGAAGATCAAACGCAGGATCTGTTTGGCATGGGTAGCATTTGGAAATATGAGCGATATTTTCAACGATAAAAAAGTGCCCATCAACCTAAAGAAAAAGGCTTACGACAGCTGCATTCTACCTGTGCTTACGTATGGCTTAGAGACTATGGCAATTACCAGAAAAACAGCAGAACAACTACGAGTATCACAAAGAACCATGGAAAGAATCATGTTGGGAGTCACCATTAGGGAAAAAATACGGAATACCCACATACGTCAAAAAACAAAACTAATAGATGTTGTTAAAAGAGTAGCAAGTCTGGCCCCAAAAAGTCATTCTATGGAGACCTAGGGGAACAACAAGAAGTGTAGGTCGACCAAAAAAGAGATGTGTCGACGACGTCAGAACAGTGGCAGGAAGACATTGGATAAGATTGGCGAGAGATCGCGAAGTATGGAAAAACCTAGAAGAAACCTATATCCAATACTGGATGGAACCAGAGGCTGAGAAAAATGAAGAAGGGAAGAAGAAATATCACTTAATGTCGAATTAAACGAGAAGAAATTACTCTGAGAAGTCCCTAGACAAACTTATATCAACTTGTAAAACTAACTCACTGATCTCTCTTGACTATTTCATATGTAAAAGCAACGTCAGAAAAGATCAGGCGAATAGCCAAAAAGTATAACATTAAAACTGTCTTCAAATCTGGATCGACTCTAAGAAGCATCCTAACAAAAACAAGACCGGAATCATTGAAACAAGAGAAAGAATGTATCTACAAGGTACCTTGTGAATGCGGTGAGTCGTATATTGGAGAGGCTAAACATCTTCTAAATGTACGACTAGAGCACAAAAAACATGTACAAAAAGGTGAAACAATAAAGTCAGGTATTGCGGATCATGTTTCGTCAAAACAGCACAATATAAAGGGGTTGGAAGCTCGAGTTGTCCACAGGGAAGCTCATTGGAAAGCAATCCTAGTACCGAAATATCTCGGATATGGTAACCACTGATAAAACTGAGCTCCAATGCAGGCATTCTAAGTGGATAATCTCACGGTTGACTACCACCAACTTTTTTACAGTGAATGCCTGGCTGCACTATAAAAGCTCAGTAGTTTTAGGAATTAGTTTAGTTTACACTTGATAACGGTCAGTGATTCTTCAGATCGAAACGTTGTGTTAATCAAAATAAATACAGACAATGGATGTTCGAAACTCTTTTATTTCCAATTTTAATTAGCTGTTTTGATTTAATGGCCACACATCTAGCAGCGCGTTCCATAGTTCGAGTACAACAAAAAAAAACTTGCAGCGGTCTTCCTCGTATGTTTTATTGCCTTTCTGGTACTTATACTAAGGGCTGGCAGAGGTTAGTCTTGGGTCGAGATTTCCGTATGTAAGAAGAGTACAATGCGTTTAAAATGTACAGAACAAAGAGAGAACAGTAGGTACACGCGTTGCCAAACGTATGAAATAAACCGAGAATCTGTGCACATTGCTAAGAAACGTGGAAGGGGATATAGCAGATTTTTTGTCGCAGTTGATCTGTCGACCGAATCAGACTGCTTGGGTACTGATTGAACCAGTACCTCTGTCAGTACTTAAAGTTCTAGGGAAAGGTATATATATCATGCGTTCAGTTTCACGGTTGAATTACGTCTCGTGATACTTTATTTGTTTATTTATTAAGGAATCGTTGTAATTTTCCCTATAGCTTGAAAATTTTTAAGTGCAAGCTAGAAACACTTGCATTTTTGGTAAAAATAAGTGGAACTGAGTTGGTGTTCTACAGTGGTCGCACTATTAGAACTCTGAATTCAAAAATCGATATCTGGAAATCTATTAGAAATAATTGATTGTAGTTTTTTCAAAAACTTTCTTAATATTTCTGCTGTATTTTCTTAGTAGACAGTATGTGAAAAATCTTTATCAATAAAAAAATTACACGATTGCTGAAAATTGCTATGCTCTAAAAGTAAATGTATGGGTTGTTTACAATTTTTGAATGGAAAAAAACAACCTTATCGAATTTTTCTTATGTAAAAATATTGTAAAAGATCCGATCTTTAAAATAAAAAAATCAATATCTAAAGTGGTTCTTGAGTTATGGCGTGTTATGTGTTAAAAAGTTGAGTTTATAAATTATCGCGATTACTGATTTCTGACTGTTTTTTCGTTATAAAAAAATGACACCCTTACGATATCCTTATAATTCCATTTCAGATGCTCAGAAACATGTCTAATAAAATTATAACTAGTTATCTTTTCGAAAAAAAAAGTCTTTTAAAAATAAGCGGTTTTCGATCGTGATTTTACTTTACTTGATAGGGAAAGGTGTACCGGCAACGCTGCAACAGCACACCGTCGCATTTCTCTCACTCCGACTTCATAAGATCCCTATGCGATTTACTTCCACATATGTATGTAAATACCGACCCAAAAGTAACAGTTGTCAGCACGGTATATTTAAAGTCCTGCAAACTAATGAAACAGTTTTAGGGCACTACTGGACAACCGAAAGCTGCAATACAGAGTCATTTCCATTTAGTAAACAATTCGTTCTTCTTAGGAAAGCGAAATGAGCTCGATCGGAAACAGCACAGCATTTGCGTTCAGGTGCCATTTTTCCATGCTTTTGGTACCGATATTACCATATGTGCCGCTTTGAACCATGGAGCGACATTAGTGGTACCATCTCCTGGTTATGATCCTGATAAATCTTTGGACGCCATTCGAGACGAAAAGTAAGAGCCACTGACATGTAATATGGAATATAATTAATTTATTAAACACTAGTTGAAGCATCCGCCAAGACATCAGGAAAAAAAACTTTTTATTTTATTTTTTAATTAAATGAAGAACAAAAAATCCGGCGACGACAGTTTTTAGAAGAGCCAATTAGCTATCTTTTAGTAAAAAAAGCAACTTTCTAGAGCAAGTCGTTACTTCAGTAGAGACGACACAGATAAACATTAGCATTTTATATATGTAGATATTTAGTAATACAACATAAATAAAGGGCATATTTTGTAAGTATCGTCACCAAAGTAAACCCCACAAAAAATAATCTCTTCAAACATGCAGGGTGGTCGAAATTGGTCTGTTTTAACAGAGAGCCTATTTCCTGACTAGATAGAGCAAAACCGACATAGATGTCATGGGATAATTTCTGAGACATGTTTAATGGCATAAACCGCCTGTTGGTATTTTTACTGCCAACTGAGATACGTATTTGAATTTTTTACCATTTTGAAAATTGCCCATAACTTTTTTATTTCGCGGAATAATAAAATTCTGTAAAAACGTTCTTAAGGCACTTTTTTAAGCACAATCCTGTGGCGTAGTTAGGTTTTTTGTGCGCAAAAGATGTTTATTGTGTATTCAAGGTACTGTTTGAACATCTTTGATGGCTTTTTTAGAAAACTATGTTCGTCACTCAAAAATACGTTTTTTTATTGTTGTTCTTTGTTTATTGTATCGATTTCGTTTCGATTTTTTTAATTTACCTTTTCAAAATTCTTTAATTATGAAGATAAATAATAATATAGAATATAAATTGTGATAAAAAAATAATTAGGCAACTAGGTCAACACAAAATCAAGGTCCGCTTCGATATAGGATAAAAAACCTAATATTTCTCTCATTCTTTTAAAATTATAAATAAAAAAAAATAAAAAAAATAAAAATACACATAACTTTATATCGTTGGAAAGGGTTAAACGCCAGCATTTTTTTAAGTATAGAAAAAAACTGACTACGCCATTGAATTGTGCTTAAAAAGTGCCTTAAGAACTTTTTTACAGAATTTTATTATCCGGCAAAATACAAATGTTATGAGCAATTTTTCAAATGGTAAAAAATTCAAAAAGACCACGTATCTGGGTTGACAGTGAAAATATCAACAGGCGGTTTACGCCATTAAACATGTCTCAGAAATCGAGCCCATGACATCTATGTCGGTTTTGCTCTATCTAGTCAGGAAATAGGTTTTCTCTGTTAAAACAGACCAATTTCGACCACCCTGTACATTGATTATTCTATTGTTCTATCTACAGATGCAGTGTTATACATGGAACACCAACAATGTATGTAGACCTAATAAACAGACAAAAAGTAAGAAAAGAGGACATTAGCCCAGAAATTGCTGTTTGTGGGGGTGCATCGTGTTCACCACATTTGTTTCGACAAATGAGTGAATTATTAAAAGTTAAGAAAGTTAAGGTATATTTAGGTGTATAATGATAACCAATAATTTTATTTATGGCCATTCTTTTTATAGTCAATATATGGTTTAACGGAAGCCACAGCAGTTATATTTCAGTCATTATACGATGACAATGAATATCAGTCAACATCTACTGTTGGATATATTGGTGACCATTTAGAAGCAAAAGTCATCAACGAAGAGGTAAAGCATATGATATTTCCATTCACATATATCTATAAAATCTTCGAAAAAGGTTACCAGTCTTAACTAGCTAGTTATCTTAATTACCTGTTTAATTAATTTTCTCAAGTATAATTTGCAAAGGAAATTTTAATAGCTGCATTAAATAATTTGCGTTAGTATGAGTGTTAATTTAATAACACGAAGAAACCAATATCTATTTTTAATGTAATTTGAAGTAGACATTATTAGAATTAAATTATAAAATACAGTATTCTTATTGTATGGAAGAAGTTAAGGTAAAAGAGGGTAAAAGTTATTATAAGTGCGATATGTTTTAATGCTAAAAAAGTGTCCACAAATTGACCAGGGACATTCATATGGATTATCACTGGAATATTTTTCTTAAAAAAACATGTGCGTCCCTGAATTATTTTCCTGTATTTTGCAAAAAAGTTTTGCAGAAAAATTGTGTAGACCATTTAATGACAATAATTAAAAGGTATCTTTTTATATTTTGTCGATTTCGGTCTCCCTGATGAGATAACTGCAATTTTATTAATTTGCCTTAACCCAAGTCTTTAAGCGAAATAAAACACTAATTCACCACAATACACCAAAACACTTTACTTTTGCACTGGACGCGCGTTTTGTTAATCATGTAGGAAGCACTAAACATTAGTATTATAGATAATAGCGTGTACCTGCGACTTCGTTCGCGTCGAATTAATCATTTATAATGGTAATGATAAAGCAAAGCAAGGCAGTTTAAGCAGAATCGTGAGTATTCAATGGTCATATTTTATGAAACACCCTGTATAAATTTTTAAAAATTCTTAAAATATGTAAAACAACAAAATAAAATATACGTGTTTAAGAGTTTTTTCCGAAAAACTCACCAGTTTTAAAATAAAAAATATTCTAATATTTGAGGGGTGGTTTCACCCCCTTAGAATTCGAGTTTCGAAAAATTCCTTCTTACCGAACCTCTACACCCTAAAGTCAATCCGTTTTCCAAAAATCAGCTTTTTACGTTAAGCGCTTTAAGCAAGATGGTGATTAATCAATGACCAGATTTTTCGAAACACCCTGTACAGAATTTTACAAAATCTGAAAATATGTAAAAAAACAAAATAAAATATACGTGTTTAAGCGTTTTTTCGGAAACTTGACCGTTTTTTAAATAAAAAATATTTGAGGGGTGGTTTCACCCCCTTGGAACTGGAATTTCGAAAAATCCCTTCTTATCGAACCTCTACACCCTAGAATCAACCTGTATGCCAAAATTGAGCTTCTTCCGTTTAAGTGGTTTAAGCAGGATCGTGATTAATCAGTCAGTCAGTCACTTAAGGATTTTATATATTAGTATAGATTTATTAATTTTATTTTTATTTTAATAATTCTGATTAAAAAATTGGCGTTTATCTGGTCATGAAGATAGAAATTGACAAAACATCAAGAGACAACTTTTAATCGGCATTAAATGGTCTACACTATTTTGCAAAGAAGAGAAAAAAGTCAGTGGCGCACATGTTTTTTTTAGAATAGAGATATTCCAGTGATAACCCATATGCACGAATCGGTAAAAGCACTTGAAAGAAAATTATAATAAATTGCAAAAAACTGAAGACTTTAATGCCCTGTAGCTACGAAACACAGCAGAATCGGACCTATGTTGATATAAAAAATAAATATTTTTTTACACGAGGAATCTCCCCACGAAAGATGGCACATTTTTTAAATTTTTTTAAATACCTGTATAGGTCATTTTTGTAAAGTAAATCAAAAGTAAATGTAATGTTTTTTCAAAAACTATTAATTTTGAATTTGTTTAAAAACCAAATAACTTTTCTTCCATAGCAACTGTTAAAATTGCCTTATATTCATCTTATATCTATGAAAAATAGTAGATAAAATAATACTTTAACCGCAAGGGTAGATTAAATGATACTTTAACAGCGAGGATAGGTTAAAAACTTTATTTCTTCTCGCACGTCTTTAACTGCTCCTATTTTTGAAAATTTTTGTATTCCTTTTCATAATTTATTCGGGATTTAAATGGAAGTAGTTTGGATATGGCGTTTGTCGCCTCAGCCTGAATATCTGTTGGTAATTTACTTATTTCGTTTTGAGCCATTTCTGGCTCCAATTCAATCAGCAATCGACACGAAAGAGAATTAAAAAATATTGACTCAAAACTGACAACAAAAGAGACATCTTTATTTATTTGTCAAATTACATAGAGAACATCGCCAACCCAGCACAATATGTTTTCTACTCGTAATAAATTCCTTGAAATTAATTTCTGAATATTTTTTAAAACCTAACTTGCTATGGAAAAAATATTGTTTTATACACGACGATAAAATTGCATTATCGTGAAGAAAAATTGCATTAGCATAAGACGATAAAATACTATTTTATCGTTTTGTATAAAAAATAACTATTAATTAATTTTGGTTTGAATTATAAATTTATAGCAACTAAATTTATAAATCAAAATCTACTATAGAATATATTCGTTTTACTTTTAGGGAAAAATAGTTCCTAGAGGAGTCCCAGGTGAACTTTGCATTAGGGGATATTGTACGACATTAGGATATTGGGATGACGAAGATAAAACAAAAGAATTAATTAGTTCTGACAAATGGCTTAGGACAGGGTAATGATAAGTTTTCGAGATAGGTTTGAAATATTTTAATGTTCTCCTAATTTTTACGTAGAGATCAATTTGTCATCGAAGAAAACGGATATGGCAAAGTTGTGGGTAGATTAAAAGAACTTATAATAAGAGGTGGAGAAAATATATTTCCTAGGGAAATTGAAGATCTTCTTAATACACATCCCGATATTTTAGAAAGTCATGTAAGTGTTACATAATAATGTAAAACTACGACATATGTATACAGGGTGTTTCAAAACAAATGCGAAAAACTTTAGGGGGTGATTCCTTGTTCAAAATAAAGGGTAGTTTGCTTTATAAACGTTGGGTCAAAAGTCAACCATTAGGGAGATATCGCGGTACAAGGATGGCGGAAAAATAATGTTTTTATTTTTTATCTTGAAAACGAAAAGAGATAGACTAATAAAATTTTATAGAAGCATTACTGTTATGAAAACACACTTTCTGGTAATTTTTTCACTTTTTTAAAATGAGTGGAAGGGGTTGAAATAAACTACCCCTATCATTCTTGTTAACGAAATTTAAAGAAAAATCTTATCAAACACATGCAAAAAAATTAATTTGGATAGTTTAGTTTGTTTAGAAACTTTTTTATCGCTTGTGTTTTTTTGATAAAACTCACCGATTTGAAATTAAAAAATAAAATGTAAAGCATTACATGTCAGGACAAAAAACATTTTTAGATTAAGAATCTAGTGATAATAACGATAATAATAATCATCTAGATAATAACGTATTGCAGTAGAGTAATGTCAAATAAAATAATATTAGGAACATCCTAAAAAGTAACAGCGGCCGACTAGATTTTTCCCTAAAAAAATTACAGCAGCCCACTAGATTCTTTATCAGAAAATGTTTTTTGTCCTGACATGTAATGCTTTACATTTTATTTTTTAATTTCAAATCGGCGAGTTTTATCAAAAAAATACAAGAGATAAAAAAGTTTCTAAACCAACTGAACTATCCAAATTATTTTTTTTGCATTGTTTGATAAGATTTTTCTTTAAATTTCGTTAACAAGAATGATAGGGGTAGTTTATTTCAACCCCTTCCACTCATTTTAAAAAGTGAAAAATTACCAGAAAGTGTGTTTTCATAACAGTAATGCTTCCATAAAATTTTATTAGTCTATCTCTTTTCCTTTTCAAGATAAAAAATAAAAACATTATTTTTCCGCCATCTTTGTACCGCAATATCTCCCTAATGGTTGACTTTTGACCCAACGTTTATGAAGCAAACTACCCTTTATTTTGAACAAGGAATCACCCCCTGAAGTTTTTCGCATTTGTTTTGAAACACCCTGTATAAAAGAAACAGATTTAGATTGGAAAGTGCCCATAAGGAAAATGTAAACACTATTTGGCGCTATTCTTACAACGGTCGCTCTCCAAAGCTTTTGATAATTTCGGAGCGGTTCGGCTTTTTCCGGAATTATGTAGCCAAATATTATTTATTAATTTATTTATTATTTTCGTTTAATTTTTTAAATAAAATACAGTATGTTGCATATAAGAAATTTTATTTTATATAAGGACGTGTATGAAATACCTATGAAACATTGATAACCGACGTTATGCCACGATTCACCATGGTTTTTGTAGTTCACAATTCACACGACAGCTTTATAAGTTGTTAATGCCACTTTTTCTCAATTATCACGGGTTTGAGTAAATAAAATTTAAATTAAACTCACAAGATAGCAATCATTACTTAGAAAATGGACGTTTTAAATACTTTTCGGTATTTTTTCAATGAGGGCGGTATACATTTTTAAAGATTTTATAGTTTTGAAGATTCTGACTTTAACCAGAATTATCTTTGCTTTGACAAGAGAAAATTATTTCTGTTCTTCTTTGCGGTTGTTCTTAGCAACCGCTATATAGCAGCGCCCTACAACGTCTGCGCTCCAAAACAATTTTAAGTTTTTGCGGCAAGCTAAGCATTCCAATCTAAACTTCTTTCCTTTATCTATGAACTACGAAAATCTCATTAAACTCTTGTTCTAGGTAATTGGCCTCCCCCATGAACGACTAGGTGAAGAAATATGCGCTTGTGTACGAACAACCGGTACGTCGTTATCACTAGAAGAAATAAAAGCGTATTGTAAAGGAAAAGTGGCATATTTCAAGATTCCCTCAATATTAAAAATCGTAGAATCATTTCCCAAAACCACATCGGGAAAAATTCAAAAGTATAAACTTGTCAATCTTTTTAAAGATAGAAAATAAAATTATCTTGATGTACTAATTGACAAAACTGATAATATTTTATTATTTACTCAATGTTTTTATGTCCTAATAACCTTCAACTCCGATTAAACAAATAACTTTATAATTTTAAATTTGTTAATTGGTTTTTGAATTTGTGTAACAAAAAAAAATGTTGTGGAGAAGCGATGTTAACGAATTGATAAACATATTTTCAAAAAAAAATGCTTTTTTCAAATATGCTAATGAGCCACCCTCGTTCCATTTAAAAAAATTGAGATATAATTAAAAATATCATTTGGGCATCTTTTAACCGGCGAGGACAAGACACTAACATTAGGCGATCGAATATATTTTCCCAAGCTCATTGATTTAAAAATTAGTGTTTTAAACATAGCATGCATGGCACCTTAGATTGAAATTTAAAATACAATTTTGTTCTAAGCGAAAATGTCAAAAGTCGACATATGATATGATTGATATGTCATTCTATTCAGAGTGTCATTTTCTATCAAATACAGTAAAAAACTGCCGAAGGTGCCATTTAAAAATCAAAAGTTATAGACATTTCCGTGGCCGAAAAGGATTGAATAGTCAATCATTCCTAATTTATATCATATACGAACATATCAAATCTCGTTTTTTTTTATCTAAAAAAAAATAAAAAAGTTATACAGGGTCCGGCAATAGTGCGTCGGGCATCTGTAGCTCCTAGAATAAAAAAACTTGGGAATTTTGTTTAAGTGTAAACCTAAAGTACAAGGATGCATTTCAGGAAAATATTTTAACTTCTATAGGGTGGCTCAAAAAAATGTGAGTGAATCGGGATGATTTTTTTTAAATGGAACACCCTGTATATTATTCCATTTTTGGCTTCCTTTCAGATCACTTTACATAATCCTAAGATATGAATAAATATATTTAGATAGTTTCAGAGATATTCATAAATAAATAAAAAAATTATATTTTTCAAGTTTCAATAAAAAATATATTACAAATACAAGAACTGTCCTGAAATCATAACTATATTAGGTATTTACTTTAGATGGTTTATTCTTAACTTTGGTGTAAATATCGTAATCTTAAATCATACAGGATGTTCAAAATTCTACGCCAAACTTTCTAAAATATAAAATAATTTTTCTTTGTTTTTTTTAAATAGAACACTCTGTATATTATTTTTTTATTAGATGGAGAATTAAAAAATGAACATTTTTTGCATTTAAAGTATTTCAAAATTTTTAATGGTTTCGCAGATACACGCAGTATTATTTCATATGGCTCTCTCAACGGTAAAATACCAGAGAAAATTCATAGGGTGGCTTTGATAGAAATTTACCTACTATGGAAAATGCCATATGAAATATAAAACCGCGAATATCTGCGAAACCGTTAAATTTTGAAATACTCTAAATAAAAAAATGTTCATTTTTTAATTCTCCATCTATTGAAAAAATAATAAAGAGGGTGTTCCATTTAAAAAAACGAAGAAAAATTATTTTATATTTTAGAAAGTTTGGCGTAAAATTTTGAACCTCCTGTCCTCCTCTATGATATTTCGATTACCATATTTATGGCAAAGTAAGTATAGATCATCTAAAGTAAATGTCTAATATAGTTTTGATTTCAGAACAGTTCTTGTATTTTTAATAATTTTTTTAAGAAAGCCTGAAAAATGTATATTTTTTATTTATTTATTAACATCTCTGAAACTATCGAAATGTATTTACTCATATCGTAGGATTGTGTAAAGTGATCTGAAAGGAAGCCAAAAATGCAATAATATACAGGGTGTTCCATTTAAAAAAATTATCCCGATCAACTCACACTTTTTTGAGCCACCCTATAGAAGTTAAAATATTTTCCTGGAATACATCCTAAAACATACTTTAGATTTGCACTTAAACAAAATTCTTAAGTTTTGTATTCTAGGAGTTACAGATGCCCGACGCACTATTGCCGGACCCCATATGGTGCTACTTTTGAGACGCACCCGGTATAGTTTAAATTTCATTTTTAAACACGCAAAGCTAAGTATAAAAATAACATTCGTTTGCTAATAATCATTAAAATACAATTTTGTAAAATTACATTATTTTATGAAACTATGCAAAAATATTAGACTTGTGTAAGTCTCTTATGTAATACATATATCCATATTATTTTTTATAAATTTTGTGTAGATAAAATATATTTTTTAGTGATAGGCAAAATGATAGTCTTCTGTTTTAATTGAGTTCAAGTAAAACATCTGTTTTTTTCCATCTACGTAGAATGTTTTAGGTATTTGGTTACGTTTTGACTGAAAAAGAATGACGTAAGGTAAAACCAGGTAAAACGGTTCGTGTGGCCGGAGCTTACAAAATTATCACGTAATTCTATTTGAAAAATCCGACCATTATACCGGATGCGTCTCAAAAGTGGCTCACACCTATAAGTTTTTTATTTTTTTCAGATAAAAAAAACAGATTTGGTATATTAGTATTATGACATAAATTAGGATTGAGAGTTTCGATTGTCTTTGATCACTTCCTGTTTCACCGAAAATTACTACAACCTTTGATTTTTAAATGACACTTTCGGTATTTTTCTACTTTACTTGATAGAAAATGACAACTTTGGACATTTTCATATAGTATATCGTGTTTATTTAAAATTGTAACATGCGGTTCATAACGACAATTTAACTATTTAAATAGTAAGTGTGTGGTACCAAATTATTCGTAAAAAAATGCTTTTTCCAAATATGCTAATAAGCCGCCATTGTTCCATTTGAAAAAAAATTGAGATGTGATTAAAAATACGATTTCGGCATTTTTTAACCGGCCTGGACAAGACACGAAAAACATTAGATGATCGAAATTATTTTTAGTATTAGTGTTTTTAACGCCACTCTGATACTCAATCACTACTCGCATACAATTTTATTAAGCGAAAATGTCAAAAGTTGACACATTATGATATTGAGAGGCTCCATTTTCTATAAAATAAAATAAAAATATACCGAGGGAGCAATTTAAAAATCAACAGTTGTAGTCATTTCCGGTGAAGCAGGAAGTGATCAAAAACAATTGAATGCGTTAATCAATCCTAAATTATGTCATATGCGAACATACCAAATCTCGTTTTTTCATCTGAAAAAATAAGAAAGTTATATAAACGTGGGCCACTTTTGAGACGGACCTGGTAAAAAAGAAGGAAAATTTTTGAATAATTATTTTTAAAGCGATAACATAATTACATTAAAATACTTAAAATTTCTCGGAAATTATCACTCTTTTCGCGATTATTGGTATAAATTATATAAGCGATAACAGACTGACAATAGAAAAGTAAACATTAGATTCACGTACTGAATGCGGGGAGTCTAAATTTAGTCGTGGCTCGTGGTACAAGTTCTACTCAGCTGGTGTTTTGTTAACTAAAAAATCATTGAAAATTATGTTTTCAAGGCGTTCAAAATGTTTATTCGTGCACTTCAGACAATTAAAACAGTAAGTATATTTAACTGTAAGTAGCAAATCATTACAAATATTAATATTCTATTTTTTTCTGTGTAATTACTAACATAATATATTGAAAAATGGAAGTTTTGCTATTAAACAAGGCTATTACGTTTTTCCTACGCATCTTGGCAAATGTTAAAACATAATTTTTTGACAGTGTAAATGGTTAATGTTAATAGTCACAATTTACAATTTTTTCTACCATATTCCTAAACGAATAACTTTGTAATGCAAAATTGACCTTTTTTAAACAAATAATATTGGGATAATGTATAGACATGATAAATTGAGGTTACAGCAATTTATTGCTCAAGCTCAAGGACTAACATTGTCTTAATACCGTTAATACCATGGAGAGTATTTCTAATCGTATAATTTTCAATACAATATATTTTTAAATTTAATATTTCTGCAAATTTATACCAATAAATTACATTTTATACGTTTAACGTAATGTAAATTTAAATTAAGAGGAGAAAAAAGACTTTCTTCTAAGATTTTACATTCGATATGTACAGTAGGTATGGAAAAATAGATACATATAAAACATAAAACCTTACTGATAAAAAATATACTTGTCTTATAATTATTATCAATTTAATATAGTTTCATTATTAATGTATAAGTAACAAATTAAATATGTAATATTACAGTTTAGCTATATTCTAATTAAAATTAATTTTGTTGTGTTATAACATATAATATCAAAATGGAAATTATTTTGCACGGCTTAACTTATGAAAAGTAGTTATTGTATTTTATCTAATATTTGGTGTATAGTGAATTACTGTAAAAATTTTCCATAATTCAAAATATCAATGAACTAATAAAATAATACACCTATTATACAGGGTGAGTCTTAAATAAGTGCAAATATTTTCAGGGCTGGTAGACTTCGATAAAAGAAGTTGGCTGGGAAATGATTATCGATGACATTTCCCATATAAATTTACATATAAAATGACAGCGATCTTCATTTCATAGTCATCGCTGACGCCGTTTTTTTTTTCGATTATACGGTGTAATATACATGGTGGTGTCTCTCATACGACTTAAACTGTCAAAAATTTCATATATTTTTTCCTATTTTTGTTTAGAATAAAGAAGTACCACAAATTAAGCTACGTTCACAATCCTGGAACAGCTCGTTTAAGGCCGTTAACTGTAGGCAAAATATTGGAAGTAGCAGCAAACAGGTTCAGTGATCGTATAGCTATTTTAGCTAAGGCTCAAAATCAACAACTGACATATCAAGAGGTATTAGACAAGGCTGATAAACTGGCAGCAGGTCTCAAGAAAGTGGGACTAAATCCAGGAGATAGAGTCGGAATTTGGGCACCTAACTTGATCGAATGGTATGTGACGCATATGGCTTGTGCTCGAGGTGGTTATATTCTGGTAAGTTCATATGGCAAGTTATATTCTGGCAAGATACAGGGTGGCGCTCTTCATTCGCCTCGCTTAATTATAAAAAAACGGGAAGGTGTAGAAACTAAATATTTTATGGGTTGTGATATGTGTGAAAGCAATGTGCATAATTTAAAATTATTTTGAAATGTGTAGGGTGTGTCAGAACTAAGATCCATACCAAAGTTATATTATTTTTTCTTATGGAACAAACGGTATTTTATTTAATTTTTGAATCCTTGGATATAAAATAAGGGTTAAATATGTTTACCAGCTTTGGTTTTTGAGATATTTAAAGATAATTACCGCATGCTATAATAAAAAAAATTCAACACCATGTACATTACTTTTCAGAATTAATTCTTGTACTGACTTTCAAGCCAGAGAAATAAAATTTACTAAAAAGATTGATTGCTCCTTTAAGTGTATACAGGGCTATCAAAAATTGGTGGTTTATTTTAAATATTTATTTTACATAAAATCTTCGAAAAGAAGTGGGAAAAAAGATGCAACACCCTTTATTTTTTAAATTAAATAGAAGTAGATTTAAATGCTCTTTCAAGCTATATTAGGGGTTCCTCGAGGGTCTCCTATACCTATCTGACTCAGATTTTTAATAAAAAGCGATTTTTCAATTAAAGAAAAGGCCAATGTAGTCATGGCAATTTTCTAGTGACATTTAGTAGCTATTTTTAAAATCTAAATTAGTTTATGGACTTTATTTAAATTTATAGCAGTTTACTTTTATTTTACTGCAACCTGCAATATGTTTGCAATATGTTAATAAAGCATTTTTATTATTTTATCAAGAAAAACGAAGAGGTAGTTTTTTGACTTAGAATGACTTGGATTTTTTGGAGATATGTGGATTTTCTATAAAAGAGCCAATGACGGTAAATTAATTTTCTTCGCTTCTAATGACATGTTTCTGTCTAATAGGAAAATGTCTCAAAAACTAAAGTTTTTAAAAATATTTTACCCTTATAATAAATGAATTTTTTTCGTCTAGGAATCCAAAAAAATAAAATAAAATACCGGGTATTCCACAAGAGGAAATATAACTTTAGTATGGATCTTAGTTCTGAAACTTCCTATATATTTCAAAATAATTTTAAACCATGCACATTGCCTCCCCACATTTACTAATAAAAAATTGTGTTTCTACATTTTTTGGTTTTCGTACAATCAACCGAGGCGAATGAGGTGCGCCACCCTGTATACAAACTACCGTATGATCGAAAAAAAATGGCGTCCAGTTGGCTGGGAAATGACGATCGATGACATTTCCCATATAAATTTACATATAAAATGACAGCGATCTTCATTTCCCAGCCAACTGGACGCCGTTTTTTCTCGATCATACGGTATTAAACTCGTTAACATATTCTTTCCTCGCAATATCGAAAATATAACGAACATAAACAACATATTGGGTGGTATTAATAAAAATTGAGTACATGCTCATATAGCAGGTGCTCAACAAAACTGGAGCAGATGCTAAAAAAATGAGCACATACTTATTTTTGGTATGAATAAGTTGTGTATACCGAAATTGAGCAGCTACTTCGGCTTTTAAGTACCTGCTGCGAATCACTACAAGAGACGGGATTTTTTCTGTTTTCACTCGGATTCTGTGGTGCAGTGTAGGAAAACGTTGCTTTAGTTGGCCAAAACATTTTTCTATTACAACACGTTCTCTGGTCAAACATCTGTTGTAGGAATTTTGCTCAGGAGTGACAACATCTCTGTATGGAGTCATAAGCCATCGAGTAAGTCCATAACCAGAGTCTCCAAGGAGGAGTGTATTATGCGTATTTTTCTGCATAATGTTATGCCGGAATTTATCCATATACGCGTGTCATGAACAGACCCCGGCCAAGATGCATCGACACTTGTAAACTCCTCTCGAGCATTGCACGTTGCCTGTACATGGAGACTATAAAATCCCTTTCGGTTAACATATTCATCCCCATGTACATTCCCATTGGTTTAAGGATGGGGATATGCGTGCAATCGATGGCACCTATAGCAAAAGGAAGGTTGTATTTATCTTGCAATTTATCTTTTTCTCCCTGAAATTGTTCTGCAGTTGACGGAAACCTTATCCATACATTTTACTTACTTACTATAGCGTCACTTACTGTTGCAACTGTTAAAGATACTGTTGTTTGGTGTACTTCTATATCTTCAGCAACACCACTTTGGAATCCCGGGTCACCCACGTAACGAAGAGAAATTCTCATTTTTTTCAGTAGCCCTTAAAGCACCACTTCTATACTTTCAAATTCGTCTCTTAAGCAATACTCAGCCAACCATTCCACGCTATTTCTGTTAAATCTATACAAAACCCGATAATCAACATCTCAACAGTCTCTTCGAAATTTATAATATTTTCGTGCACCAGCAATGGGCATAAATTCGGCCATCACTTACAAATGCAGGAGTATTACTGATTCTGATCACAGAGGTACCTTAAAATAATGTGAGTATCTGCTTCACTTTTTAGCATGTGCTCAATTTTATTCATTCCAAAATTAAAGTAGTTACTCGCTGTTGAGAGATACTTATAGCCATGTGGCAATAAATTTGGACATACATATCGGCATCGACAGGTCAACTCTGTGTATAGGATTTTAACGTGTAAGACAGTGATGTAGGCAGCTTAATGGCAAATCAAATGTATTAAAAAGAGAGAAAAGTTGGGTAGGTATGGGTGGGTACATTTCTTCTGAGCGGTATTGCCAGATTTTGCATCAAAGTTTCAAACCGCATAAGTAGACGTTTCAAAAAAATGTCGCATCTAGGGTTGGATCTGGATTTTCGACAATTAGTTACCCATTTTATTACAACTGTAATAGATTACATTTAGCTTAGATATATTATCTTCATTTCAGTAGTATACATGAAATTTTTTAACATAGTTTATTTTATTCTAATTTCTTTAAGACTACGATAATATACTGGTCGGCAAGAGAAAATCTTGGGTCGTTTATTTCAGTCATCATTTACCTACATGTCTAGAAGTGAATCGCTATGGCAATCTTGTAAGCCGGGGAGAGAAAATTATTACCTATCCACTTAATCCGGAGCTCAACTTCATGCGCTTGGGAAAATTCTTGCTTCTTTCTCTTTGTTCATTTATACAATCACAGAGTCTATAGACTCTGTGCACGACAATCGGCACCCAAAGCCGTGTGTACATTATCGGTTATATCATTAAATAAACTAACCAAAAAATATGCTGTATTACGTAGTAAATAGTGCAAATTCTATTGTCGACCATTCTAACCAGTATTAAATAATAATGGAGTGAGACAGTGTGAAGTGAGACATTAAATGATTGATCTTTTTGTTAAATTACGTGGTATAACTTAACACAATGATGAATCGTTTAATGTTTCATATGCACCTCCATAATTATTTAATATATAATCTTATACTGATTACAGCGTTCGACAACAGAATTTGCGCTTTTAGTACGTTTTGTAATTAATAGATTATCTGTCTTATTATGCAACTATGGATGTACGTGTCTACGTAATAGAGCATCAGCTTCTCTCTCAGTATATCGTATTGTACTGAACACGTTGACACATGAGAATCAGCAACCAAAGCCGTGTGTACGCTTCATTAAATAAACTAACCAAAAATATGCTCTATTACGTAGTTACGTACATCCTCAGTTACATAATAGGACCGATAATCAATTAATTGTCGACCGATCCGGATTAAATGGATAGGTAGTAAACTTCTCATTTTTCTCCCGTATTTTATAGTCTTTTCTCTTTCAGTATATCGTATTGTACTGAACCCACGTTGACTGTATTCTTCATACACACGACAATCGGCATCCTAAGCCGTACGTTGTACGTTTTATTAAATAAATTAACCTTTTTGTTTATTTATTGGTTCGTTTATGTTTTATTTAATGATTGATATTATTTTGTTAAGTTATACCACCAAGTGCTATAAACTAGTACAAAATTAAAAAAGTTAATTTTAAGTAAAGTTATGTGTATGCAGTGTATGTATATACCTATATGTATAAGTCATGAAATATCTCCTGAAATCGGCAACAATTATTTTATGTCCATTAGCACAAAAGATACAAGGTTCTTGATCGATCGATTTCCAGTCGAGTAGGATTCTGCAAAACATTATTACAATAGAATATACCTAGGTACACTGCGCACGATAATACTGTAAATGGCATATATTGATTACCTCTATTAGTCTACAATAATTATTGATGTTTGATTTTCCTTTGTTACCAAAGAAAATCCATTATTCTCTTACTAAATTTTGTATATTATTCTAAATCCAATATTATAATACAAAAGTTTAAAATTAATAAATATAAAATGTTAACTGATATATTTTCTTTCCTTTTCAGGTTAATATTAATCCTGCCTACCAACCACCAGAGTTAGAATATTGCATAAACAAAGTAGGAGTCAAATGTGTGATTAGCGATTACAAATTTAAATCACAAAATTATTATAATATTTTTAATGAAATATGTCCTGAAATATCAACTAGTGAACCAGGCAAATTGAAGTGTAAACGCACACCTTCATTAGAAAGCATCATAATTACCACACAAGAAGATTTAAAGTATTTTAAAACAAAGTAAAAAATCAATAATTCTATTTGTGCTATTTAGGGGAGCCCTGAAATTCCAAGAAGTTATTGAGAGCGCTAGTGAAGCTGAAATAGATAACATTGATAAATTACAAGATAGAATAGATCCAGATCATCCATGTCACATACAATTTACGTCAGTAAGTTCCTACTAATTCTAATAGATCTTTATGCAACCTATTAATATCGATAAAATCAAATAACTATTAGGAATAAAGATATAATAAACAGTTTTAGGGCACTACAGGAAAACCAAAAGCTGCGATACAGAGTCATTTCCATTTAGTAAATAATTCGTTTTTCATAGGAAAAAGAAATGAATTAGACAGAAAACATCACAAAATTTGTGTACAAGTGCCATTTTTCCATGTTTTTGGTACAGACATTACGATAGGAGCATCTGTAAACCATGGAGCAACCTTGGTTATACCTTCTCCTGGTTATGATCCCGAGAAATCTTTGGACGCCATTCGAGATGAAAAGTAAGAATTGAATAGCTCCCCATACACGGAAAGGCCCGGCCTGCGGATCCGGCCTTCGGATCCCGCCTTCGGATGAAATCTTTGCGGTTGTGGGCAAGCCTTTGGCGGACTAAACCCACGGACTTGGTCTTTAAGATTAGATTTGTCTAATAAAACGAACGAAAGATAAAGTCCGAAACGCTTTTTCTCTCTAAGAAAAAATACCGCAATTTTTATTCCGATAAATATTTATTTTTATAAGAATTATTTATAGTTCTTAAATATCTTGAGTTCAAGACAGAATACAACAATTTCGGAGAAATATGTAACTATTTACGCCAGCATTAATTTATTTTAAATTTAATAATCTATTAATTGTACTCAGTTACGGAGTACAATAATAGTATATACAGGGTGTCCCAGAAATAAGTACAAATATTTTAAGGGGTAGTAGATCTCGATAAAAGAAACATATTTTCTCTTTATAGTTTTTCAAATAAGTCCAAAATAACGGAGTTATTTTACTTTGAAAATTTCTAAAAAAAAATATTTTTTGCTAAAATTTTGAGAACGGCTGGATCTTTTCTGGATTTTCTTTCTAGTAAATTTAATCTACTATCTATGTTGCCATCTTTTCAAGGAATTATGTTTTTTAACTAAAAACTAAAAAAAATCCCAAAAATATTTTCAAAAAATTTTGAATTTTCAAATTTTTTTTCGTGAAAAAAACCTCACAGGCGTGTTTCTGGGGTTGTGAACTATACTACCAGTTAAAATATTTGCACTCATTTCTGGGACACCCTGTATAATAATGATATAAATAATTTATCTTAAGTCTATTTAGTATATTATATTGATCATTAACAATGAATAAAAAATCTACTCTTATTTATATACAGTTTGTCCCACAAACTTACACACGGCCTTGAATGACGGCGTGAGACGGCCGTGACGCGCGAGCTAGCGAGAGGAAAGTGATAGCGGCAGTGTTGCCACAGCTACCCCATTCGGGGTAGATCTACCTCTTTGTAAAACAGTTCAACCCCGTTATCTCGTGATAATCTACGCCGATGAAAAATAATCTTGTGGCAACATTGGGTAACGATCTGTGCCATACGCGGCTAATAAAATCACTATAATAAACTTGATACTGTACCAACCTTGATTTTAGGAAGTAAATTTTCATCGATAGGTTTGTAGCTCCTGAATAACGGTCTAGGTAAAACATCTAGCAGGCCGGATTCGAAAGCCGGACCTTTCCGTGTATGGGCAGCTAATGTCTCTTGAAACATCAATCTCAATACCAAGGGTTTACCTACAAAATAATTTAGTATGTATTGTTTCACAGGTGCAGTATTATACATGGAACTCCGACAATGTACGTTGACTTAGTAAATCAACAAAGAAATAGAAAAGAGGACATCAGTCCAGAAATTGCCGTGTGTGGCGGAGCTCTATGCTCACCACATCTGTTTCGACAAATGAAAGACATTTTAGGAGTAAATAAAGTTAAGGTAATAATACTGAAAATAACATACAGAAAAGTCCGCAGATTTCGAGACATAGGAAAATCAAGTCCATTTAGCGTGTGTCCTTTGAATAAGAAGACTAGGGAAGGAGCATAATGCTATCCATGTATTCATGCATGGTGGGCGGAAAAAGCTTTCTAGGGTGGGGATCCTTGACAGTTCTGTTTGACGATTCATTTGACACATTTGAATTTGATTTGAAATTTTGTGGATTTGTCAGTCTTTACGGAGCTTATTTTATGTTATTTATTATTTATTCTACTACTGATAGTTGTATAAAGGTAGTAAATCTAAATGGAAATTGTGGCAGAACTTAAATTAATAGTGACATTATCGCGATTTATCGAAAAAGACTCTAAAATAGTTGGTTGTGTAGCATGCGGTAGATCTCGGCAAAAATTGAGTGAAATAATGGAACAACTTTTCGCTAGTAAGCGACTATATAATATACATACGTGTAGTAAACCGATCATTTATGAAATTCACTTAAATTAACTAAATTATATATTTTTCTTGCATTTTAGCTTTTATTTATTACTTGTCAAAGATTAGATGTCAAAGAATTTAGATACGTTAATTTGACTTACCTGCTTCAGTAGCGTATCGGATGTTTGTATTAATAAATACTTATTATAACTTATCTATTTTTATTAGAATTATATATTTTTATAACAATTTTAATAACTACCAACATTTATTCACAACGTAAAATAAAATAACAAATTATTGAGTCTACCCCACGTCTACCCTACATCATAGTTTTACATTTTTTAAATAAAATTAGAACGGCACTGATAAACCGGAATTTAAGTCAGCCATATTTGAGGCCCATCGCGGTGTACCTAAGATTTTTGATATGCTCCTTCTAGTCTTCTTATTCAAAGCGTGTGTTCAAATTTTGACAAGTTTTCAAAAATGACAGTTTTGTTTAGACTGACGTTTAATTTCGCCTGACCTCTCGGTGAATGATTTCTTTTTATGGGGGCACATAAAATCTAAAATTTACGGCCATGAAGAAATTCAAAATTTGGAGCTGTTAAGGCAGAAAATATTTAATGCCTTTGACACTGTCACCCCTAATATGTTATCCAATGTGAGGAGAGGGGATTTTATGATCGTTTGGGTTATTGTTTAATGCAAGAGGGAGGCATTTTTGAACAATTTTTGTAATTTTTTAAATTTCATTACCCTGTTTTTTTACCGTTTGCCCATTACTTACCTTGACGAACATGGGAAAACAAAGGTCCTTTTCAGTACCACAAATATTTTGATTGAGAAATTTGTTACTTTTATTTTTTTTGGGATTAAAAAAACAAAAGTTGTTAATATAATACCAATTTAAAAGTGGTTTAGTAGCACAGTTAGTAGTTTTAATATACACTATGATATAAAATTTATTATTATTATTATGTACATTATTAATTATTATTCATTTGAAACGGCATTAAGGCCGAATTGCACCAATGATTTAAATGTTTCTTAAAGATAAGTACAGCTTAGAATGAGCTGTATTTATATTTACTTTAATATTCAGCTTAAATGAGGGAATTTGACTGATACAATATTTGAATTGTTTTTAATGAATTTTAGTTCAATTTTTAATAAAATTTATTTAATATTAATAGAAATCCAAGAGAATTGAAACCTCTTTTAGCGATTTATAACATTCTCAAATGAATTACAGGTGCCCTTATTTTCTATGAAAACCACACAGCTTTTTTCATAGTCGCTGCAGTTACCATAGCTATAAAAAAACGATTTTTAAGGTGTGAAAATTGCGACACACGCTAAATGGACTTGATTTTTCCTATGTCTCGAAGTCTGTGGACCTTTCTGTATAAATATTATACTACCTACCTTACACTCTACTTTTTAATAGTCGGTATATGGCCTAACTGAAACCACGGCAGTTGTTTTTCAAACATTACCTAATGATGATGAGTATCAATCCACCTCAACAGTTGGTTGTGTTGGTGATCATCTAGAAGCTAAAATTATTGATTTGGAGGTAATTATGTAGGTTAATATATGAATCTCGTATGAATATTAAAAATAAAAATAAACATACTTACCAGTACTAAAAATGACAGTTAAGTATCTACGGTATTTGTAGAATGTAGAATGTTTAGGAGGGGGAATAATCACCGCAACCTTACAGATCTATTGTGTGTTCCCCTCTTTGAGTTATAACGAATTATAATTCAAGATGTCAACTACTATCATCATGCAGTCTCAGAACTTTGACAAAAGCCAGTATCTGAGACAGTATTTGAGACAAAGGTTACTTCTCCATCTCCGACATCAGCTATACAATGGTATGAACGTTTATGGCACCGTTTATGGCACGAACGGTTATCATCTCGGCGTACTCAGTGATAAGGTGTTCTGGTATTTCCCCTATTTCCCCACAGAATCTGCATTCGCCGTTGTTTCCAAACTTCAATATACTGAGGTGTCCGTTGAAGAGACAGTGTCCTGACGAAACCCCGTGACAATCCGAAGATTGTTCTTACTTATCAAAGAAAATCTTTGATTTTTCTCGGTCGTAAGTTCTGAGAAACTTTTTCCAGCGTCTTAGACCGTTGGAGGATTCGCATTCCAGGATGGAGTCTACCAGGTTTTAAGTTCCGCTTTAAGTTGGTTTCCGCTTAAAAAGTAGAACGGTTCTGTTCGAGTTAGTGGGCGTTTTCGCTCCTTTTCTAGCTAGATCATTGCCTTTTCATTGCCTTCTCTTCCTTGGTGAGCGGGCACCCAGAGTAGGAGGACTTTATTTCCTTTGCCTAATTTGTTCAGCTTCTTTAGGCATTCTTAGACCAATTTCGAATTGGTTACTGAGTTGATCGCTTTTAGTGCTGCTTGATTATCGGATAAGATGACCATTTCCTGTTTTCGATAGTTCCTACCTAACAAGATAGTTTCCTTTCTAAGATAAGTTGTACGTTTCTATTTTTCGATAGCGTAGATTTTTACCCTGAAGGAGGCTGGGGTATGTTTGGAGTGTTTAGTATTTGGCCCAAATATTCCTATCCCTATCCCTGCTTTGGTTTTGAAAGCATCAGTATACCACGTTATAGTATGGTTTTTTCCTGCTGAGCTTTCCTGTCGTTTGTGCTATAAATTTTGGAACTTTGGTTTCTCTCTTCTAATTCTTTTTATTGCTCAATACTACATTGGGATGTTTTTCAAAGTTTTATATTCTTGGTATGTCATCCACTGGGAGTTTTTGGACTGGAAAATTTCATTTTGAGGGTGTTTCAAGTCACCGAGCTGACAATTCTGACAGTACTGTTTCTGTCAATGACCATTTTAATTATTGTCGCATTGGCATATGTAACGCATTGGCGTTAATCTTAATTGGCGTAAAAGCATTGGCGTATGTCTTAACATACACAAAGTCGACGACAATGTGCCATGGTGTTAGGTCTAGAATGACCTACATTGCTGCTGTTGGACATGTTCTCATGGCACCTGTGATGCCAAGTTCTGTACTTTACACAGATTTTTGCCTTGTTGTGCGTTGCTCTAGTTTAGTATTCTGCAACTGCTTGATAAGTAATCATAGGCCTTACTATCGTGGTATACATCTCATACATCAGTCTTGTGCATATCATGAGAGTCTTCTGCATATCATGTGGCCTTGCTGGTAATGTTCTTAATATGCCTGTTTCCTAGAACTTTACTGTCCAGAGTTATTCCCAGATATTTGATTTCCTGTGATTTCTTTTCCATCTGGATGGGTACTTTTCAAGTTTTTCAGATTTAGCTTTCTGGTGAATGGCCCTACCGCGCTTTTGTCTGAGTTGATGGTCAGCCCGATAGCACCATCTCTCGGTGAAACGAAGTCCTCTTTGGATCATACAGGGTGCCTTCATGTTTTCCCCGAGCAATCATTACTATGTCATCTGCATACCCTATGCAGTGTATTCCCGCCAGAATTAATTTGTCTAGTACTTCATTCACGACCAGGCCCCACAATAGGGGAGAAGGTTACTCCACATTGTGGAGTTAATTGCGTTGTTTTAGCTACATTTTTGGTACCCTGGGAGACTACCGATGTTTGCCATATAATTATAGTCTACAGCCGTAAGACTGATGCCAAGGATCGACTGCCAGGCAAACGAACATGTAATTCCAACAGTGAGACACCCCTCGTCGGGAAAACAATATTTGTCATAAATTTAAACAATCATTTAACAAATAAGTAATTTTATATAAAAGTGAAAAAAATGCAAAACCGCAAGAGTCTTGTATGCTTGATTTTGGTCTTGTTTTTCTTCTGCAAAGCGGAGAACAAGACAGCAGAGACCAAGACCAAATTCGCTCATCGCTAATAACAAAGATTACTGAATATTATACTCAGTAAACTTAGTTATTAGTAATACCATGCTGTCAGTATATAGCACAAGAAATACTTCTGCCATTATCATTACTCGCTGACGAGTATTCGACACACATCAGAAGATGGTCACGCAAGGCGATTTCTTTCATGAGCTTTTCTGTGACTGGAAACTTATTGCCTCTTTACTTTTTGATTGTCACTGTTAACTGAGTTTAGAATTCTTCTCCATTGAGTTCTGTTGTAAACTGCTTCTTTCCACTCATTCTGCATGTTAATCCCCTTTAAGTTTTCGTGGAAAATGTTCTTGTACCTTTTCAGTTGTCCGCCCGGCCTCCTCTTATCTACAAGCTCATCGTAAAGTGATTAGTGTCAGAGTTCCGAAGTAGTTAATTAAGACGTAATTTACCTGATTAACTACGTGTAGTTTTTCTTCAAAAACTACGTCTCTACCCGTTCATTAACTACATGAAAACTACGTTAATAAACTACGTATTGATATTATGAATATGAATAAATAATAATAATAATATAATAGCTCCCGTATAAAGCGTTTAACGCCTTGGGAGTAGCAAGGTACAGCTTGCCATAGTAGAGCCCTTCCGTATACAAGGAAGGTAATGTGGCTAGCACTACGCTTCAACCACCTATTATTACCTCAGGATTGTGAATCCCAAGTACTCATTTAAGGCTGAGTCGACCTAGGTACCAAAACTATTTTTTTTATTTTAATAAAAATAGTGGGCTGATGCAATGCCGGGTGTGGGATTCGAACCCACTTCCTTGAGATTGGTAGACGAGAGCCTGTACCTCTACGCCATCGCCACCAGGCACTTATGAATATGAATAATTTTCCTTTTATGAGGTGTTTAAATAATATGACGTGAATATTATATTTAAAGCCATATTTCTTCTGTTTTCTTAAATACATAATTTTACATACATAGTTTTCTAAAGTTTCAACTTATTATAACCTCACCTCAAACACTTTTGATATCTGAAAGTTACATACATAGGTTACATAAATTACACCCTCTACATCATAAACTACATTAACTACATGTAATGTAGTTTATGTAGTTTTCCGAACCCTGATGGGTGTGCTAAGATTTTGGTATGCGGTTTTCTTGCATTCTGCATACGGGACCAGCCCATCTTAAGCGGAATTTTGTAACCATGACTTCAATACTCTCGCAGTTAGCTTTTTGATGCTAAAAAAATTATGGAACCACCGGATTCTTAAGAGTTGTCGTGTCTCTGTTGCAACTTGTTTAATGCGTTCATGTGTCGGCAGTACGGTACCCAGGTTTCGCTCCCATATCACGTGGGGATTCTAATTGCTCGGTACACTGCAAGGTTCGTTTTTGTACTCAAGTCATGACTGTAGAAAACCCTGTCTTTTAATTTCCAGAATGCTCTTGAGGCGCTGCTAATCCTGTGCTGAATTTCAGAGTCAATATTGGCCTTTTCCGAAATCAAACTGCCGAGGTAATTGAATTCTGCCACATATTCCAATAGTTCTCCGATTTTTATAGCATTGTTGTGATCTTCCGGGGGAGAGAACATGATTTTGATTTTGTCGATGTTTAAATTCCGTGGCCGGCCGTAGCTCCAGCGTTAGTGTGTCGATCTGCGGAGCGGAAGGTACTGGGTTCTATCCCCAGCCAGTACGATCGCTTTATTTATTTAAATAAAAAATATTTATTTATCTAAATAGAGTGACCAATGAGCCGCCACCTCAAGGAAGGTAATGGCAAACCATCTTGAGTATATTTGCCTTGTACAGCCTGTCAAATAGTGCCGTTCGGATTCGGCAATAAACTGTAGGTCCCGTGTACTTGTGAAACACTGATGACACACATCACAAGTACATGCGAGAGGTAGCCGACGCTCTATATAGAGTATGGCACTGTAAGAAAATGTAAGATGTTTAAATTAAGGCCCAAAGCCTCGTATGCCCAAGTATATGTGTTCAACGTTTTTTACAATTGTTGTAACGTGTTGTAACGTGAAAAACACCCAAGAAATAAGAAAAATATATACGAAATAAAACAGAAATTATGTTTTACAATTTCAATAATACATTTACTGAAAGAAACAACGATAAAATCCCTGTTCTTAATTTAATTTAAAAAATTAAAAGCCTTGCTTTTTTGAAATTTGAGTTTTTGCATCAAAAGAAACGTATAGAACATACATGTTATAAAAACATTATAATATTGCATAAAATCTATTCAGGGCAACATAGTACCTAGAGGAACTCAAGGTGAACTTTGTATAAGAGGGTACTGCAACACATTGGGTTATTGGCAAGACGAAGAAAAAACTAAAGAATTGGTGGGTCCAGACAGATGGTTAAAAACAGGGTAAGTTTTTTTGGATTTGAGAGTAAGTTTGTACTTATTGACTGTCATTTAGAGACCAATTTGTTATTGAGGAAAGTGGGCATGGTAGAATTGTTGGAAGACTAAAGGAAATAATAATACGAGGAGGAGAAAATATATTTCCTAGAGAAATAGAAGATCTCCTTAATACTCACCCAGATATTTTGGAAACTCATGTAACTTGGTTTTTCTAAAGAATGTTGTAGATTATTTCAAATATTTGTTTTATAGGTTATTGGTCTACCTCATGAACGTCTTGGTGAAGAAATATGTGCTTGTATTAGAACAACCAATCAATCGCTGTCGCTTGAAGATATAAAGACATTCTGCAAGGGAAAAGTAGCTCATTTCAAAATTCCTTCTAAGCTGAAAATTGTAGAAGGTTTTCCCAAAACAGCTTCAGGAAAAATCCAAAAATTTAAACTAATTAATATGTTTACAAATGATAAATAAAACCGCAAATGTAAAATTTATTGTTTATTAGTTTATTATTGTCTATAAAAATATCTAACCAAGATTTTATTGTTAATCCGTGTTTCTTTACATGTAAAAATGATATTAAAATCTTGTCTACCGTTCTGTTTAAAATCTCCTTAACTTCTTCAATGTCTCTAAAAATAGAATGATAAATCGCCGAACTAAAACTTTAACTTACTTGATATTAGGACTAACCCATAATACAGTGTAATTAATTATTCACTCAGTACTGCAGACTTATACTACATCAAATCAAACCAAAAATCAAACCATAATCAAACCATTATCAAAAGTAAAAATTACCATTTCAGGTGAGAGTGGTAATTTTGCTTTAATAATAAACGTCCTAATATACGAAACGAAACTGCAGACGCCCAACGGAACGAAATATGCTGAGAATAACCAAAAAAGACCTTAAAGAATAGAGTGGATACGACAAAAGACCAAGGTAATAGATATCCACAGAATCAGATCCCTTAAGCAGCAATGGGCAGGACACCTAGCCAGAAAGACGGACAATAGATGGACCATAAAAATTACAGCATAGTACCAACGAGAAATTAAGAGACATAGAAAAAGACCAAACCTGAGATGGGACCATGATATTAGGAAATTAGCAGGGATAACTTGGGCCCGCAGAGTCAACAATAGACAACAATGGGCCCATCTACAAATATATTAAACTCGGTCAAGTTTGCCCCCGCACTAGAGGAAATTCAAAAAGAGATATACCACTATTTTGCACAATTTTGCACACCATAAATGATATTTTGCACACTTACCTAAGAGAAACTAGAGCCGTTTTTTAAACGGGGAGCAGACTTGACCGTCCCCCCCCCCCGTTTGTTACGAAATTAATTTATTTATTTCTATGTACATGGATTCGGCTAATTTTGCACAAATTTGCACACCTATTTTTAAATTTTGCACACCCTCCTGACGAAAGTTATAAGGGGTTGAAAATTTGAAATTTCCCCCCCATCTGTGACTAAATTGAATTTTGTTTATATCAAATGAATGGCCTAATTTTGCACAATTTTGCACACTTATTTTCGAATTTTGCACATTCTCTTGACAAAAGTTATAATGGTTTGAATATTTGAAACTCCCCCCCCCCCCATCTGCCACAAAATTGAATTGTGTTTATATCAAACGAATCGGCTAATTTTGGACAATTTTGCACACCTGTTTTTGAATTTTGCACATTCTCCTGACTAAAGTTATCCGGGTTGGAAAATTTGCAAATTTCCCTCCTCCCCCCCCCATCTGCTACGAAATTGAATTTCGTTTATTTCAAACGAGTCGGCTAATTTTGCACAATTTTGCACACCTATTTTAGAATTTTGCACACCTTCCTGACGAAAGTTATGAGGGTTTGAAAATTTGAAATTTGTCCTATTGTGTGTGAATTGTCCCATTTAAAAAACATAAGTATGAGTCATATTTGAAAATGATAGATCTCAAGAGGGCTAGGACAAATATGTGTGTAGAAGTTTCATCAATGTTCAATGTTCAAAAGTTTCATCAATGTTCTATGCAAGCTATAAATTATCGAAAAGGTGAAATCTAAGTTACGTGCAGTTTTTCACGTCGCTGAGATTTATCATTTTCGAAATATGACTCATACTTATGTATTTTTAAATGGGACATTTCACACACAATGGGACAAATTTCAACTTTTGTCAGGAGAGTGTGCAAAATTCGAAAATAGCTTTGCAAAAATGTGCAAAATTAGCCCATTCGATTGATATACACAAAATTCAATTTCGTGACAGATGGGGGGGAAATTGCAAATTTTCAAACCTTCATAACTTTAATCAGGATCGTGTGCAAAATTCAAAAACAGGTGTGCAAAATTGTGCAAAATTAGCCAATTTGTTTGATATACACAATATTCATTATCGTGACAGATGGGGGGGGAAATTGCAAATTTTCAAACTTTCATAACTTTAATCAGGATGGTGTGCAAAATTCAAGAACAGGTGTGCAAAATTGTGCAAAATTAGCCGATTCGTTTGATATAAACAAAATTCAATTTAGTCGCAGTTTGGGGGAAATTTCAAATTTTCAACCGCTTATAACTTTCGTCAGAAAGGTGTGCAAAATTCAAAAACAGGTGTGCAACATTGTGCAAAATTAGCCGATTCGTTTGATATAAACAAAATTCAATTTAGTCACAGATTGGGGGGGATTGTCGAACACCTGTAGCAAAACCTCATGTCTTGGTTTGCTATTTATTTTTATTGTTATTAGATATAGTTTAAATGTGTTGATGTTGGTTAAATATATTTTAAATTGTTATAAAATTCTGCATCTCTCATAGCAAATATTATTTTCGTTTTAATTGATGCTCACAGCTAGAATTTTTTGCATTACAGCCGGTGCCGTTCAAAGCCTACTTATTTAAAAGCGGGCGAATTTTTATATACTCTATATCTCGAAGAGGAATCGAGCAAAATATCAAGTGTGTTATATTTTTGGAAAGGTAATTTTAAATTCTTTTCAATAAATTAAAAATATACAGGGTGTCCCATATAAAAAATCAAATTTTCTGTTGATAATTCTTAAATTATTAATTTTAAAAAAAATATACTTAAACCATTAAATTCTATGTAAAAAAATGCTTTGGAAATGTTTTCATAAAAATAAAAAAATTTTCATAGCAAAAAAGTTACAGCGATTTGTTAAAAATGCACATTTTTGAAAAACACCCCGTAACTCCGAAACAGTAACAGATATCGATATGCGTTTATCACTATCATGTGTTTGACAAAAATTGAGCTCCAGACACCGATATTAGTTTTTGTCTCTCTCCTATAGAAAAGGGTGTTTCCATTTAAAAGTGTCGAATTTGACCCACCCTGTACAGTGGCGTAACAACAGATTCACGGGCCTGTGTGCAAAAATTTTACCGGGCCCCCTATTACACATACATATTTCAATACTTATATACTAATCTGAATAATATGCACTCATATTTTAGGTTAGAAATAACATTATCAAATTAATTTTTATATAGTATTATTTATTACTGCAACACAGAATATGTAACCCAAAACACATGAAATATCAAATAAATAAAAAAATAAATAAAAACAAAACAAAAAACAACAACAAAACACTAAATTAAAATAAACAATGTAAATAGGAACATGAACATGTTAAAATTCTTTTTTTTTTGCTTTAGCATGGGCGAAAGTTGACACAATATTACCAATGTCTATTGTACGGGCAACTTCATTTTCTATTGAAATAATTGCCAAAACTGATTACCGTTTCTCGCCCATAGTATTTCTTAAATTATTTTTGACAAGCTATATTTAGGAAAAATATCTTTCAGCCGAGGCCACAGAAACAGGTATGATGAGAAAAGTATGACACGCTGTTAAAATCTCGCTGAAACTAGACGATGAAAGGTTTTTAATTAAAATAAATTCAGTGAGTTCAAAAATTCAATTGATTTCATATAAATTATTTCGGAAACATTGTCTGAAGGAGAGTAATTGAGAAGAAGTCGAGAACCTGACCCATTTCATATATATCCTTATCAGAAACAGAAGGATTCTGCTTGATTCGCGATAGCATGTGACAGATATGGAAATGCGGCCCGAGGGCCAGGGCCCGTGTGCTTCGCACACACGGCACATCGATAGTTACGCCACTGTCTATGTAGGTATAGTTCGTATGTAAGAAATCGTGAATCGGCTGTATGTTTAATGAATAGGCTCTGATTTAAAGTATAATTAAAATATTAAACGTTATTAAAAAATAAACTTATTTACAGAACTAATTGAAATATATTTAATTAAAATTAAACAATATTTGTTTGTATCAAGCTTCTAACTAAGCCAACATCTGAGACCCGTAAATTCATAATTGATTTTAACCATAAAATAAACATTTATGAACTGACAACAATATTCTATATGCAGCAAATAAATAATTTAATTGACTGGGACATGTATCAATTATAACAAACTAAAAAGTACAAAGGTCAATGATATTCACACCATCAGTTCTAGTCGTCTATAAATCGTGAGAGTAAATCAGTTGCATGTTATTATTCATTAATTTAGTACATGTCATATGGCCTATTTCAATTTTAGTCATATATTCCCCAAAAAAAACGATATTTAAAAACTATGAATGCTATTCCCGTAGTTATTGAGAATAAAAATGTTTTATAGACAAAAATGTGGGAAAGTTGAAAAAATTCATCTAACTTTTGAGTTGATGTATCGCTCACATTTTTATAAGGGCGATCTCATTCTAATTATAATTAGATAAAATAAATAATTATAATTTAGATAAATAGGTATCTTATCTTCATCAAATATAGGAAAATGATATTATTTTATTAATTCTTCTTTTCCATTATTAATTTTGTATAAATATATTAACTCAGTAAAAAAACATTCGACGATTTATGTTTTGTACAACCCTGTATTCGTTTACTATCATACTTGAATGAAAATAAAATCACAATGAAATTGAACTATAAAATATGCAATACTATATTAATTTAAATCATTAACGGTGTAAAAGACTCAATAAAGCTGGAGCAGCTGAAAGTATTTTGAATCTTAAGCAGAGAATAAATACGCGGTTACACGAGATATATAAAAGATAAACGCGCTTACAGGAGATACATGACGTTACACATTTAAACAAATCCCCTTTCTTTTGCTAACATTAATGATGAGCGAGACTGGTCTTCGTCTTACGTAAAAAGCAAGACCAAGACTAAGACGTACCAGTGTAAGACTTGTAGATTGTATGGGAGATGTGATGGAGGATAATCATCGCGACCTTATATATCTCTTGTGTCCTCCTTTCTTGAGTTAAAACTCATCGTACAGTCTCAGGGAGAGTAGTATCTGAGACGGTTTTACAGAGAATATCTCCGATACCAGTCGTACCAAAGTACATGGCACGACGAATAGTTGTCGTCTCGGTGCACACAGTGATGAGGTTTTCTGGTGTTTCCCCATTTTCCCTGCAGAAACTGCATTGATTGCAATTGAAGTGTAAGAGTGTGTGTGACTTACGCAAGACCAGAACCAAGACCCATCATGCAAGACTCGTGCGGGCTTGCATTATATTTTTTTATTTACAAATTTTTATTTACTTACATTTCGTCCCTGTAATTTGTTAAAGTATAATAAAGAAACGGTTTCCCCGAAATTAATGTCAGCGAATATGTGATTTAAGGTGGTCCTCAACAATAACCAGAACTACCCAGAGTCTATTCAGGGTCTATTTTTCATCTGGTCGGGCCCTCTTTTTCCCTAAAATTCAAAAATTCAAGAAATTATGAACTTTTTTTTTTAACGAACATTTAACGGGTCACCCAGATCACCGACCGAAAATGGGCCCTGGAACTACCGAAACTACAAGGCCTTCTGAGGCTCTGACGTAAAAATCTGGTGACGTCATCAAGTGGAGGTTATAAATTAGTGATGGGAACTATCGAATGGCTAGTCAATGAATGATTCCAAGAAATATTTTATTTATTTTTTTAAGTAAATGCATATTAAATAAAAATTGAATTCACGTTTAGTTTATTAGCGTTTCTTTAAAGTTTTATTTGATTAAATTACTATTTATTTAAAACTTTTATATGTAGAACAAAGCTTCTATTATCTGACTAACGAATCTAAAACAGCGAAAGGAATTCGGGCAAAAAAAGTCGATGTTGTCACGTTTAATTATAGAAAAGCAAAGTTGCTCGATATTACCTATAAATTGAATATATTTTAGTTCATTTCAGTATACATAATTATATATATGCTAATATGTTGACGTAGTTCTTATTGTAATAATGTATATTTATCTAATTAAAAGATTTCGTTCATTCTGCCTATTATAAAAGGTAAAGTATTTCCTTACGATAAAGTCCGCTTAGGGTAAGCTGGCAACACTGACGAAATTCATCATGGCATCCCGGATTCAACCAGTCTGATTGGTCGAGATTCTCGCACGTCTTGCCGCCATTACCCCCAACTTTATGCCCCTCTCTAGGAATAGTAGAAACAGTCACTACTATTGAAAAATCCAGTGGCGGTGTTATTGTATTGTGTTTTATATCTTTAACTTGATTTGTGGTTATTGTAATTAGTACACGCGTTTTAACAAATATTACTATATTTGGCAAATGACTAAACAAAATGTAGGTACATTTAAAGTAAAATAATATTATAAACTTTACTGGAAAATATTATAAAAATTCCTGATATATTTTTATGAAACACCGCACGCTCGTGGATATTTTATGAATGAAATCGGTCATGATTTTAGAAAATTGCGATCCCCTGACCGTTGCCCCGTTGTTTCAGATCCGTTTGTCAGACTGTAGTAAAAATATATTAAAAAAGCGCACTCCGGGAGTTTTGCAGGAAAACCAAATCTTAGTTTTGATTTTGAATTTGCTCATCACTAGCTATCATTCCCACCATTCAAAACTCTTTTCATCGTTGGGTAGCTTTTCCATCTAAGCAAAATTTAATATGGGGATATCATTATCTCCAATTGAGTCCATTTCACTAGTCCGAAAAAGTAGCGAAATAAGCTTTCGGCATTTAACGTTTTATATAAAACTACTTAGCCTTAGAGGTACAGGCTCTCGTCTACCAATCTCAAGATAGTGGGTTCGAATCCCACACCCGGCATTTCATCAGCCGACTATTTTTATTAAAATAAAAATAGTTTGGGTACCTAGGTCGACTCAGCCTTAAATGAGTACTTGGGATTCACAATCCTGAGGTAATAATAGGCGGTTGAAGCGTAGTGCTAGCCACATTACCTGCCTTGTATACCGAACGGCTCCCAAGACGTCAAACACTATATACGGGAGCTATTATTATTATTATTATTATATAAAACCAACTAGGTATTTTTACACAAATGAAGAATGAAATTAAAGATAAAGGATTATACTATATCCGTATGGTGGCACACTTTTAGACAGCTTCTTTATTTTTAAGATTTTGATCGTCAAACATCAACAAAATATTTCTTATGTTTGGACTAAATTTTATTTAAAATAAAGACATAATTTAAAATTCCGTTACAATACGGAAATAGATTGAAGTTTTGTGATTACAGTGATATATAATTTATATGGTTTTGTAACAAATTGCTCACTATTTTATGGCAAATGCTGAAGCTCTGCAAACCTTAATCAAGCCTTAATCAAAGCATGTGTGTTTGAAATTTTGGGTATGGCTTAACACGACAGAATCGGGCAATATTGCCTTAGGCATATTTCTGAAATATAATTTATATTTCCTTCGGTCACAAAACCGCTTTACCCGACCCCTGAGAGCAAGCCGAAAGTAAAGCGCAATAGACTCTTAAATATGAAATCCATTATACCATTCTTATTTCATAAAATTATTTATAAAAATAGCGTCCCTGCTGTATAAAATGCAGAATAAAATATTCTTAAAACGCATAATCTAAATAAATATAATAAGTAATATACAAAGTAATGAACAAGTAACACATAACGTTGTTTATATTTAATTCTTGATAATAAACCGTGGCGTGTAACTTACAAAGAATCTAGGTAAACAAAACAATAGTAGCGCCAAATACCCAAAAATGCGTCTTTGTTCGAGCAAATGCAATTAGTGAGTACTACGCCTGCCCTACTTTGTTGATCTAAATTGAGTATATTAAGTGCTTTTATCAGCTGTACTGTGAAAGATAAGCGTTTTTATATAGTTACCTGGAACACCGTGCATTTCGCTTTATGAGTGGTTTAAAAACGGTTGACACGTGTGCGCGCAAACGGTTCAGTATAATTCGAACTAGAATTCGAACGCGCTTAAAAATTAAGTACCTACGTAGCGCGAAAACTGACGCGCTGTTATTTTATAAGCCTATCTTTAAAATGTTTTTCACCTGTCTAAATAAGCGTGGAAATTTTTTGAAGTGACAGTTGTGAAAATCAGTCGCTGCGTTGTCAATAATACTTTTCGTCGAAAGAAAAATATATATTCGTACAAATTTAGTTTTGAAAATTTTCCGTATTTGTATTAAATTTTGGGACGCGACAAATAAGTGCAAGAATATATTTTTAGCGACTGAAGACAGGATACAAGTTGATGCAACTATGACGAATGGCAAATTATACTTGAAGTAATATATAAAAAAAAAACATAATCGAAAAACACTCAATGTGATATGAAGCAGGAAATTTAGGGCTTTTATTCATAAAGAACAGTAGGTAAGTACTACTCCTAATTACTATAATATTAAAAAGCTAATTTCTTGAACTTGCATAGTGATGAGCAAATGCAAGATCACGACCAAGTCTCCCTTGGTCTTGGTATCGCTGTGAATTAGTAGTTTTTGTCTTGCAGGGCCCAGTTTTGGTCTTGGTTTTGCTGCAAGACTCTTGCAAGTCTTGCATTTTTTTAAATACCCTCAAATGCAAAAAAACGCAACGGAAAATTTTTTGGTCTAGTTTTTAAAAAGTTATATTTTTTTTTATTTTTAGCCTTTTATTTCCTTGAAATAATACAGGGTGGCGCCTCTCATACGCCGCGGAGGATCCAAGAAGAACGACAGTTTGTATTGAAATGAAATTTTGTGAGCATATGTAGGTTAATACAGAGCACTTTTTAAAACTATAAAGGATTCTACAGGGTCTGCCCCAAAAAAGTTACATATCAAAGCTGTGTTTTTTGTAATGGAACAAACACCCTATATATTAATTGATTTTCGGATTCTGAGAGAAAAATAAAGGTGAGTTTTATAAGAGAAGTAACTATATAACTAAAATGTTAGGTTTTTAACATATTTAACATTTTCTAGAAAAAAAAGATTAATTTTTAAATTTTAATAAAAGCTACCTAAATTTGAATTTACCCGGTATAGCCTAATATGTAGCTAAATTAACTATTGTACTTTAAATCGAATTAAAAATTGGTTCAAAGAGTTATACAGGGTGAGACAAAATTAATATTGAACATTGGTAACCTTTAAAAGCATGTTACTCTTTTATTTTAAATGGAACACCCAGTAGTCTGTTTTTTTTATGGGGATATGTTAATGACAATGTTTACAAAACTCGACCAAATATTGTCGACAACATGAGATAAACTATTGTAGCTGTTTTTCGAGGTAGAACTCCACATATGCTAATGAAAAGATTCTTTTGAAAGACAATCATTTCTCACATAATTATAGGTTTATATCTAGTTTTAATTCTGTAATAATTCAAATATGTTTTAAAAGTATATCTTTTTATTACCATTGAGTATTTTACTCTACAATCTTTAATTTTTGTTAAATTAACAAAAGGTATATCACAACCACCTAGATGTTTTTTCAAATAATAAAGTTGTACTGACCCAAAATAATAAAAATTAAAATATCTAGGAAAATCTTTGTCTAAGGAGTAGGCAACCTTAATAATATTTTGAAGATATATAAATTCCCCATTAAACACCGGAAAAATATACTGGGTATTCCATTTAAAATAAAGAAGTAACGTTTTTAAAAGTGACTAAAGTTCTATATTAATTTTGTGTCACCCTGTATAACTTTTAGGGTCAAATTTCAATTTGGTTTAACATTCAATGGTTACTGTAATTAAATATCAGGCTATACAAGGTCAACTAAAATTTAGATAGCTGTTAGCGAAATTTAAAATTTACTCTTCATTTTCACAAAATGTGAAATATGTCAAAATCCTTAGATTTTAGGTATATGCTTCTTCAATAAAACTACCTTTATTTTTTTCCTAGAATCTGAAAATCAATTAATATGACCGTTCCATTAGAAAAAAACACAACTTTGATGTGTAACTTTTTTGGGGACACCCAGTAATATTCTATATATTTTTATAAAATAGTTTCAGTTAACCTACATATTTTGCCGAAATTTAATTTCGATATAAACTAGCGTTCTCTTTAGAGCTTCCGCAGCGTATGAGAGGCGTCACCCTGTATATCTACCAACTTTAATTCGAAAAACTCAGTTTATTATAAACTTTAATATTTGGCGTATTATACAGGGTTAATAGAAGAGTTGTTTTTGTCCTATATTTAAAACACCCTATGCAATAATTTCGTGGGCAAATTTTCCTAAAACATTATTTTTTGGCCAAAGCCATGTGCGCGTTGAAGGGATTCCCTGAACGCGCACCATATATCCTGAATATTTTGCTTTTTGACTGACATCAACACATACCTGATTAATTTTTATATATTTTAATCTACAAATCTTCAAAATCGCTGTAGTTTTATAGTAGCAAAAAAAAGCAATGAAAGTTTCTTTTTTAAGCCCCTCCCATACCCCTTACCAATCCCCCACCCCCACCAAAAACTAATGCCCAGATTCTCGCGTGCCACAGTATTTTTGTGCCAAATTTGGTTAAAATCGGTTTAGCGGTTTTTGAGTTATCGTATTACAGACGGACAGACGGACAGACAGACAGACAGAAACCATGAAAATATTTTGTATTTAGGTGAATTTTAATGAATCTTCAAAATCGTTTGTATAGTTTTATAGAATAGCAGAGATACTCATTAAGTATAAGCGGTATAATTTATTAGCCATTAGAAAAATAGATTTTGTAAATTTTGCACAGATTTAAAACAAAAATTTTTTCTAATTTTTCTGTTTTGTAACTAATATAATATAAAGTACCTCATTGCGTTTTGAATGGATTTTCGCGCCATTTGTGAACATTACTCTATTTCTTTAAAACCCCAAAAACAGGATAAATTCAAATATGTACCTAACCACCGTCTAGGCCTTGTCTAGGGTTACTTTCAATTAGGTTGGGAATTTCCACAGTTTTTATGGTACCTATAGATTTAAAAAAAAAATTTCCGTATTTCTAACGTAGCCTTAGCGGGTATCAGTCGAAGCTGTTTATATCTGGCGTTGAGTGAATTAAATTAGTATGGTGAGTTTCTCATTCATTGCCTTTTGTTTTGTTTCTGTTTCAAAAAACGCCTGCCATCTCTCGTGGGGAGATTCCTCACGTAAAAATAAGATTTATTTTTTATATTAACATAGATCCGATTCTGCTTTGTTTCGTAGTTACAGGGGGTTAAAGTCTTAATTTTTTTTCGATTTATTATTTGAAGAACAAATATTTATTAAACCAACAAACTTTTACAGTTTATAAAGGTTTCTCGTATAACTAAACAACGTATAAATAATTAACTAAATGTAAATTATAATTTTCTTCCAAGTGCTTTTAGCGATGCGAATGAAATTTTGAGGGTGCATCCACATTATCCTAGAAAAAGCGGAACGGCGTATCGGCGTAACGACCTTGAATCGATTTCCAGTAATTCTATTGGCTGAAAAATTCATCTGTCAAATTCATCTGTCAAAAATTTCAGCCAATAGAATTACTGGAAATCTATTAAAGGTCGTTACGCCGATACCAAAGAGTAGATAAGACAAGAGACGACAGTGAACAAAGAAGTCGAATTTCGCGAGAGAGACGCAGATATATTAAAATTTAAAGGTCCCGTCAATTCCCATTTTGTCTGTTGCCAAGTATATTTCTTTGAAAAATAAACAAGATTTTCTGAAAATAAATTAATAATATAAGAAGGATATAAGTAAAGTATGTTAATACGGAAATGTAAATTTTTAGTTTAGCTTGGTTTAGGTTCTTTTTTCGCAATGTACTGATAATATCAAAGAAACAGAATGACTTAAGTTGATCGATTTCAAAGATAAACAGATAAAATCTGAAAATCTGACAACGGCGTATTTTATTTATTCTAACCTATGATTTTAGGACGCTAATCAGCTGTGCTAATATGGTGCTAATCAGGCTTAAACATAAACAAATCTGATTAGTTGTTTTCTTGCATTTTTGCCTTTTTAAAGCGTTTTTCAGAGATTTTCGATATATTATCGTTTTGAGAGTTTTTAAGGTTTAATTTTAGTATCGTTTTTATTGCGTACTAATTTGTAATTATTGTTAAATATGAATACTGAACAGGACACCAGCAGCAGGAAAAGACGAGATGGTGGCAATGTGTGTGCTTATAAAGACTGCAAAAATAGATCTTATTCTTCGACAAACATAATATTTCACTCTTTTCCAAAGGATCCTGAAAAGTATTTTTATAGAAATATACTATATAATTATGTGATTAAACTAAATGTAATCCATAGATCGAAGACATGGTTAGAAGCTTGTAATCGCGAGGATTTATTAAATAAAAATTGAGCAACTCTATTTTTTTGTACATAAATTCCACATTGTGATATTACACTTGTTCAAGTCCATATGTAAAAAAAATGCACGTAAATAAAACATTTCTTACAAATCGACTTGGTCCCTTTCTCTTGTTTACCAACGATATACAAAATATTGCTTTTATTATCTTTATTCCCTTACAAATATGTTTTTAATTATAATTTATTTTATATAATATTTAGAAAACTCATTTTTTTTGTTTCTATTTATTTCTTTACCCATACAGTAATTATTTATAAGCTATACAGGCAAGTTTTTATAATAGTCTATTTCAAATTTCCCGCGAAAAAATTACGAAAATTTAAAGGGACAAGCGAAACGAGGTCACTCTCCCCACCACTCAAACATGAAAGGTACCGCGCGAACTGTCGCCTCTTGTCTTATCTACTCTTTGCCGATACGCTGTTCCGCTTTTTCTAAGACGGTATGGATGCACCCTGAGGGTAAAAGTAAGGGAAAAAGTGAGACATATTTTAATAGAATACCCATATTCACCAGAGACGTGCATATAGGTTATCACTGTAATATTTTTCTAAAAAAAAAACATGTACGCCACTGACTTGTAAACCCTTGATACAAGACTGACTTTTTTCTCTTTGTTTACTTTTTTCTGGCTAATTATTAGTAGACACCAATAAATCGCAAACTGCGATTTAATAGCAGTGATTTTCAAAGTCGCAATCGCAACCTACGATTGGCTCACATAGGACACTGCGACTCTTCTATTCGCGAGTTTCAATTTAGGTAACCAATATTACTATAGTTGCGAGTTGTAATTTTGTTGCGATTTGCGATTTTGCTGCTATTGTGATTTTGCAACCTAGGACCGTGATAACCTTTTATCTGCGAGTTTGAAGTTTTAGGAGTTGCGATTTTGTTGTGAATGTAATTTTGTGATCCATTAAAGCATTTTATAGTAAACTGCGATTTAATCTTTTCTCTGATTTTATTTATTTATAGAGAAGGTATTATTTTCTAGGGCCAAGATC